TTATAACACTTATACTTTGAAACATGACGTATATTGGTAGTATTATAAGTAAAATTAAATTCATCTTGAGTGTCTCTAAAATACATATATTATATTAGAAGTTGCTCTTGGGAATTTAACAACGGAATACTAGAATAATATGCATATTTTTTCACTTTTCCGTAATCATTTGGATAGTACTTTAAAATTTCAAATATTGAATTGTTAGGATTAATTATATATATGTATATATAATTAATCCTAACAATTCGTGCGTGTGTGCGTGCGTGTGTTTGTATGTGTGTGTATTTTCTGAAAATAAACCGAGCGCACACATTAAATTAGTTATAATTATTAATGTTATGTAAGTGTGTAGGAAATTTTATGTCGTAACATGGAAAGAGGTCGAGGTAAGAACTGTTTGTTTCCTTTAAGGTTTTTTATTATTCCAACAACGACTGCACCGACCCTCCGTTATTACGTGGCATGTTTATTACCAATTTATCGACACCTCTGTTAAAACGTTACAATGTATTTTATTGACACGATTTTATATATTATACTTTATACCAACTAGATTTAACTTTATATAAGAAAAAAGTTTGATTTGATATGATTAAATTATAAACATTTCAAAACCTAAGTTTGAAAGACTCGATTACTTATGAAAAAATTGTAAAATATTTCATAAACACTTCTGGTTTTGATCAAGATTTTAAAAAATGTATTCGTTTTAAAAAGTATCCGATAAATGATTTTGATGTCAAAACTGGTTGTATCTGATAATATGGGAAGTATCATTTAACTTGTCAAAAATTTAGTTTTTAAGGAACAAATGTTGTATAAATATATAGTACTAATGCAAGAGACTAAAGGTTAATTCACAACCAATTTGAATATACGTTTTCTTTTTATTAAAGAGAAGTATGTTATAAATAGATGAATTTATTTCGTTGCATAGTTTAAATGAAATATAGTATAATAACTCTCTAAATAAAATTCCATATAACATTTCAAATATTTACTCAAAAACTATAAATAATTACACTAGAAGGAGACTGGTATTTACTTTAACAGATAAATTATATACAATCGAATATATAATACGTAAAAATGATTTTAATTAGCCATATCGCTATACGATAACTGCTACATATATATTTTTACGTCTAACTGCATAACTATATTTAAATTGTATATAATAATGATTTTGTTATATATACGTGTGTGTATTTTCATTTATACATGACTGATGAAGCCCCGTCAGCCTTTGATCTTATTAACAACGCTTAGTTAGTTTTAAAGTCTTCTATGAATAACGCTAACCTCATGTATTTTATTACAGCTTAATTTATAAGGATTATTTTTTGTATCAAATGCAACTATTGTCATCTCAATGTACATTTTTTTTGATATATCTAGGTCCTACTTCGTTTATTTATACACACGCGTAAAATTTATTACCAAGATAATTTTTGAGTAAATACATCCCAATGATATATAAGAATTTTGCGTGTACGCATTCAAATGGAACTTAGGTTTTCATATTCTACAAGTTTCTTTTTGTTTTTTTTATAACTACCTAATACTTTTTCTCTGTATGTGAAATCTTTGTGTGGGAGCAGCATAAGTAAGTTTTGTATTTACTCTAAAAATAAACTCATTAAACCTAAATTAATTATTTACGATACAAATCTTCGCATTCCAATAATAATTCTAAAATAAATCAAATTATTAAACAAATAAAAAACAAAGTGACAGTTACTGTTTTCATATTTTTTATTTGTCAATGACAAATAATAGTACTTATCAACATCAAGCAAATAGTGGCGTTCGTAAGGACTGTGAATTTATTTAATTACCTAAGAGTGTGATCTAAAGTTATAAAATAAAATATTGAAATTATTTTAAGCATTATTACATTAAATATACAAAAAAATCGTCTTTACTGATTAATAATAATTGTTATAAACAAAAAAGAAAACCGATAAAATGTTGTAGTGACATTACAATATTAATTGACTTATGTTAAACTATATTACATCTTCCCATCATGAGATACTTGATAGAATTACGACAATGTCAAGTTCTTGGTTGCACCCATATAAAGCTACATCAATTTCTTTTAAAAACGAGAGCTACTCCCTAATAATTTATAGTCTAGTATCTCATTTAGTATATCTCAAATTCTTAGTTACAAATCAAGTGTGAAGAAATATTAAATTGTACATAATGTCTATCATTGAAAAGAATAATTTTATCTTAAATTTTATTATATTGATACGTAATCAACATAGTATATTTGAAAAAACTAAGACGTTATTAAGTAAATTTTATCTTCTTATATTTGTGATGTCTGAGCGCTTAGATCAACAAATTATTGTACTTTAAAATAAATAAGGTGGTTATCTATTCTTCCCCATTTGAATAAAGCAAAAAAGACAATTAGACTGTTAAACGTTGGTATTAAACCATTTATTGAAGAATGGAAAAGTACCACCCAATTACCATAGGTTTGAACGCCAGAAACTACAGAAAAAAAAGATCTCAACAGTAATTTTCAAAGACCTAGACTTTAAATTTCAAAGATGTGCTCCTTAATAGCAACAGAATCCAACTCTAACAACAAAGTAATGGAATGTTAGGACAAATCCGTCTAAAGAGCCCAGTTACTATTATCATATGGCTTCGATAACAGAGTCTGCTTCTTATCAAGAGCAAAGACGGCGGCTGTCACAGGTTGATTGATTCGCGAGGTTGATTATGAAGTTTGGAACAAAATTTAAATAACCAAGGCCACGGAGACCGTGAAAATGTTTTAAAAAACATATTATCTTAATTTGTTAGCCATAGATAAGTAATGAGAGATGTTATAAAGATTTGGAGCAAAATTAACATTAATTTTCGGCTCGCAATTCATGCTACTGACTGAATTAACGAGGAAATACTATCATAATCATATACTTTTCTTATAATCTGCGTAGAGTATCCTATTCAGTATTTAATTATGGCTACAAAGATATTCAAATAAGTCTCCTTTGTGGTGTATTTTTATTTTGTACTGTCACGAAGGGTGGCTGTGTGGGTCGTGATGAACACAGCCTTGCTGTCTATAACCATTGTAATTAATACAATTCAAGTTTAAACAACGAATCCACATGTAAATATCGCTTTGTAATTTACAGCTTATAAATTGTGTATGATGTTGAAAAGGATTTAACGGTTTGAAGAGGGAACAATATTGTGAGAAACGTGTGTCTTATAAACACACTGTATTAAATTGATGAAAAATATTTGCTTATTGTGTAATCATTTTTATGTATTCAAAATGAGAAAAATTTGAAGCGGATTTAGTGTAAAAATAGATATTTTTTGCCCAATGGAAACACATTTATATTTTTTAAACGGAATACGCAATATTTGACAATAGTAAAGGTATGACCTTGGGTCTATACCCAAGGTCATTCATATAAGGTTATTTATATAGATAAAATAATATGATATTCTTTAAAATTGTATTGTAATTTTACTTACGTAACAATCGCCGTAAGTTTACTTGCAAATATTTTGCTATGATCATAACAGCGTCTCTTCATTTGTGTAATGAACATCTTAGGCAAGTTAGAACATAAAGAATTTGGAATTACACATTTCGTGGCTAAAACAAAAATATATGTATAAAAAAATGATTTAATTTTAATATGTAACCGAACTAAGAAAAAATCATGATCTAGAATGACATCTGTCTATAAAGAGATGGATCGCCGAAAAAACTTCATATTATAAGTTTTTTTTACCAATAACTAAAACCTATTTCCAGCTTAGCTATCTTCTATAAACCTTAAACATATTTTATTAATGTAAATAACAGGAAAAGATGTAATTTAAATCGACAACATGATATTAAAGGAGCCGATAGACAGCGAATGTTTCTATGCACAAGTAAATATCCTACAGATTACATAACAAACGATATAATGTATCGGTGAAATCCTATTTGATTGTTATATGGTAGCAAGAAGGCAATAAGATCAAATAATCAGTTTATTTATATAGGACCTTTAAGAAAACAATCTGACGCCCCCCGGGATGCAATAAGTGTAATCCGCGAAGCGAGTCACAACGATACACTTTACATGGAAGTGACTTGGAATTATCGTATTACTATTTTGATATTCACACATATTTTCTCATGAAAATTAAGAATAATCATCAAAACTTGTGGCGCGGTTCATACTTTTTGTATTGAACTGTTTCAAGGGCTATTTTATTTGTTGTGGTTTAAATTATTTTTGATAAGTATGTAGGTTCAAGATGTCCACTTGTGACAACTTTATTATCTTGTCAAAAATTTAACAAAACCGCACCCAACGCTTACTTTACGATAAACAAATAACTCTTGAAGTAACCGATCTTTGATCACTTTCAATATACATAATCAGTTAATCTGCTTTGACAACAATTTTTTTTCACTGTGAAAATATTTATCTTCATACCTATAACAGATTAATTATATATGATTATTTTAGCAAAAAATATTTTTAACTATGATTTTTTAATTGGTTTCAGTTATATTTAATAAAATATATATAAGAGTTTGAATAAATTTAAAATAATAATAGTTTTTTCAAACTAACATGATTTTATTTTGTCTGCAGTAATAAAACATTATCTAAAGAAAATAATTTAAATTATAAGTAAACTAAAGTCTTCGCATTATATCTTCTAATCGTAAATGCTTAATTAATTGTTTACACATTCTTAACTAATGCTGCGTTTGAAATATATAAAAACTAATGTAACAGTCATTAGTATGAAACTATCGCTTCTAGTTACTCTATACCTTGTAAAGTAAAGCGTGACTAGGGCGGGCGGTCATGAACAAGGGCGGCGCGAGCGCCTCCGGCCCCTTCTGTAGTCCAGTCTGAACAGTGACGACCAACTAGCAACTCCTCTCAACATGCATCTAGTTACAAAGTTTCTTATAAAGTTATAATCGGCTTTGTTGGCAGCTATTAAATATGGTGGATAAATTGAATGAATATCAGGGCGTTAGCGGTAGATTGCATTCTACGAGAGATAAGTGTAAGGAAAAATGGACTCAATGGAAGGAGGAACATCCTCAAGGTTTGCGAGGGGCTGTGAGGGAGGCTCTGTTTGCTATACCTAATTCTGACGATGCCCCTGATAGAGTTGTACGGGAAGGAGAATACAGCGATCTGTTCAGGTAAATAAGCATACAATTTTGGTCTCAGATTGTGTATAGAATTTCATGTTATTTTTTATTTCACATCAAAGTAATAATCCGTAAAGTTTCTATACCCGACTATTTGTCAATGTTACTTATTCGTTAATCCAATTACATGTCTGCCGCTTTAATTTGATTATAAATAATAGCACTATAGGCTGATGGTATTCATCACAATATAATACTTTATTTATTAAAATTTCGGTACTTCAAATATATGATACGTTATTTTTGCATTTGATTAACAAAAACGTGTGAAATATTTATTTTGCAGGAGAAAAAATAGGCTAGAATTAACCCGAATTTCTGCAGCAGTAATGGGAATAGAATTTGCATATGCTGGAGAAACAGCATTCGTTTCTCCCACCCTTCTTCAAATTGGAGTGCCACATCAGCAAATGACTCTGGTATGGGCACTTTCTCCATTAATAGGCTTCTTCATGACTCCACTTCTTGGTTCTCTTAGCGATAGATGCAAATCAAAATACGGAAGACGGAGACCCTTCATTGTTTTGATGTCAATTGGAGTATTTTTGGGTAAGTACTAGACATATTCTGAAATATAAATTTAAAATCTAATTTAAAATATTTGTATAAATATCTTAACTTTATGCCGTAAGTTAAATTTATTAATTTCTAGGTTTAATTCTTGTACCAAATGGAGAAGATATCGGTTATGCCTTTGGAGACGAGGGTTTCGTGAACAAAACTGCTGTACCATCGGTGTTGGGACCGCGAAGTTCAGTCCTTGAGACGGAAGGGACTAATCATCATCCATGGGGAGTGTTGTTCACAGTATTAGGGACAGTGCTACTGGATTTCGACGCTGATGCATGCCAAAGCCCCGCACGAGCATATCTCCTCGATGTGACAGTTCCAGGTCAGATTGTATTTCTTTATGCTACATATTAACATTGCGGATTTTCTGATAACCTACTCTAATGTATTTATCATTCCTTGACTTGATTTAAATAATTTAGAATAAAATAATGTTTGCTTGAGCAAGTTTACTCAATTTAAAATCATCTTCCTGAGATGAAACTAGATAGGATAGAATTTTCTAGACGTAATTTATTTTTTCAAATCTTGTTTACGTCTGCTGATTGCACTCCGTTCATTAGAGTGAACTAAATGTAATCATTATATTGAATGTAATGATGGCATTTTATATAATGAACTTTAAATGTATATAACGCAGTAATAAGTAGGTTTATGTAACATGATTATAAACGATTTCCTAACATGCTTTTTATAAAAAACGCAATTAAATTTATGACTTCAATTAAATTTAGTTTTATATATTTCTCCAGAATTTATAACTTCATCGTTTACAAAATTGTCTAGGTTTAATAAAACGTACATATATAATTGTAATAGTCAATTTTTTAAAATCAATGAATATATATATTTATACATTGATGTATGATAACAACCACAGTATAACACTAAGAAAACGTAACATGAAAAAACCCATGATTTACTGCTTCAGCGAAAAAAGATAAAAATATAAAATTTTCTCGGAACACAAACAGTTGAATATATTGGAGTAACTTGAAGGTTAAAATTATTTTTAATACAATAGAAAATAAGGCGTTCTTAACCTACTTTAATAGATATGGGGTGTGGACCTAGTTTGTTTCATTAAATATTTGTTAAACCTCAACACCACGTGATGTTGGTCGTTGGATGCCGAAAACAAGTGGCTTTATCTCACTGTGATTGATTTATCTCAACATTTACTTTGGTCTTTATCATTATTATTATTGTTGATGTTTTAAATAATGTACAATACGGTGACCAAAAAAAAAATTTGACCTGATATTAGAATATGAATTTATTATTTTTGATACTATCTACCTATTTCGCTTTAGGAATAGCAGATTTAAAACTAATTAATTCAATTAATTTGAAGAGATACGTAATAAATATACTTAAATTTTATGAAAAGGGATTTATTGATATAGTCTAAATTGGAATAACAGAAGTAAATACATAGAATGAAATAAATTAGTTGAATCATAAAATATATTCTTTATGATAGACTATAGTAATATGTCAAATAAATCAGACAAGAGATAATTTGTGCATGAGATGTGTAGATTATAAGAAGATAAATACAATATACACGAAAAATATGATAATTCTATATTTATAGAAAAAATTCTTTATCGAGTGTCTAGGAATTTACTTTGATAAAATTATTGTATTGCTGTTACGATGTTAACTGTACTTAAAGTTATAAAAATACAGATTTTTATAATTACACTTTAAAGAGAATGTTTTAAATGTAGCCATTTTTGTCTCTAACTTTTAAATTCCTGTTATGTTATTCAAACGGCTTTAACATATCCTTTCTGAGTATATAAGTGTGATGTAGTAAATACTCCTTGCTTTGCTTCTTATTATTTTACTAAGAAAATGTTACCTGAATTGAAAATAGAAGGTTTTAAATAGACGGTAAAGTCCCGGTCACTCAAAAATTATACAGACAGAAAAGAGCATAGTAACTGATAAAAGGAAAAGTTATCTTGAAAGCGATATAAAATTGAAAGACATATCTTTTATTAACTTACATTAACATTATTAACTTAATTTAATATTTTGTTGACATGTTTATTAATAGTATAACAAATATTTTAAAATATTTAATATTTGTGAATGATTTAATTGGATTAACAAATATTCATTTATATATCTTAAGAAAATATAATGATTTTTCCACTTAAAAAATATTTTCTAATCTACATATAATGGAATTTTAGAGGTAAAACTTGTGTAAATTTCAAAATATTATGTTACAAACTAATAAAGGAGGGGGGGTTTGTGAGAAGTGGAATAGATTTTTTCCTTTTTAGTTTTTCTGTTTGTCTGTCTATTGTACGGAATGACTCTAAGACAACAGAACCGATTTAAATTTAAACTACCATTACAAAATATATTTTATTTTAATGATGGTAGCTTAGGTATGTAGGATACTTTAAAGTTTAAACTGTAATTAATCAAACAGCTTCGTATCCAAAAAAATATGAACGTAATAATTTAATATTGCTGAAAGCTAATGTGTTTACAAAATGTTGATATTTAAAACTTTTGCGAGTGTAATATTTGCAACATTTGTATATAACCATGACTTTTCAGGTTCATGATTATCTAACGGTGATCATGGTTATTGCAAAGCAGTCGAAACGTCGGCAAAAAATGTGAAATAGTAAAGTCACAAAGTAAATGTGAAAAATATACATTTTCTAAAATATAATTTGAAATATATATAAATTAAATAAAATGGAAGCAACTGTATGTAATTTCAATAAACAAGTTTTCACAAAACTTACATGAAAATATAAACAACATAAAATATATACATTACAAACGCTATTTAAAAAAAATGTACAGAACATCGTATAATCTCTAAAATGGCTGAAGCGATTGTTATTACAATTTCATCCTCATGTTCAAGAGTGAAAGTTTTTAATTTAACTAAATGATTGTAGATTGATTGTTTAAATAAGAGGTCGTTCTCCAAATATTTTTACTAACGAAGGGCCTTTGAAAAGTCGAATGAAACCTCATAAGGATACTAACGCTTACCTCAAACGAGGTTCAATATGGGGCAAAGCGGCAGTCATAGTCATAGTCGCTGGTCGAAATATAATATTGGTTGTTTATATACTATCCCACCAATTAAGAATACAACAGACATTTTAACTATTACTTCAAAAACATAAGATATTGGAATGAAACTTATTTACTTTGATGTAACAAAAATTGTCTAATTATTTAAGGAACTTAAGCGTACTTTTAGTAAAAATCTTGTTAATTATACTAATGTGACTGTCCTGGATAATCAGAATACTGTTATATTTTAATACATCAAATATATTTACAGAGGATCACGCTAAAGGTCTGAGTACTTTCACCGTAATGGCCGGTCTCGGCGGTTTCATGGGATACGCCCTCGGTGGTATTAATTGGGACGAAACATCGCTTGGTAAGATTTACATAAATTTTAATCAATGAATAGGATTACAGTTGAAGAGATTATTAATAATACATTAAAATGAATAATAACTTCTCTCAAAGTTATATCTAAGACTTTTGAGAGTATTAATTTATGTAAAACTAACATTTTCGGATGCACTAGGCGTTTTTCACTATTTAAAAACTATTTTACATACTAAATCTATGGTTTTTTAAGGCATAAACAAGGCGTAGTGTATCCGATTATACTACTTTTATACTCAAAAAATATTTTTTCATGTACAAAAAACTTTTGTTTACATCCTGTATATATTTAAAAGTAATTTATGTGTTACAGGAGCGTTATTTGGTGGCCATGTCAGAGCTGTGTTTTTCCTCATCACAATAATTTTCATCGTGTGTGTATCGGCTACTATAACTAGTTTTAAGGAAATACCGCTGTCAGAAATCAAAGAAACAGAAGAATATAATAAATTAAATGATAGAGATGAAGAAGAAAATCAGTTTAGAGAAGAGCAAGATGGACTGAAGAAGGAAAATGCTTCGTATGGATCATTAAATCAACCTGATGAACCAGTTGATGAAATTTCTCCTGTAAGTTGTCAAATATCTTTGAAGCTTTAAGTCAAATGCAATATTTTTTCAACAGTTTGTGTCAATATCGTTTGTTTTATTGAATTTTACTAATAGTTAGTATATACTTTATACTTGAAAAATAAAGTGTTCATTTTCGTTGTATTAAAAAAGACTTTTTTCTATTTCAATATGTACAAGATATAAAAAAGATATTTTATATTAGAAATAAAATATCTTGAAATTTCAGTCTAAAATTTCTCTTTCCTTTGAAGGAGGTTTTCAATATTTATTTAGAGAATGTAATACCTAACGACGTAAAGACTATCCCTTTTTATAAGGTCAAAAATTTCACCAATTGAGCAGTGATGAAAGTAGCTATAATATAGCCTTTGACAATTTATATTCTAGGACCCAAATCAACCTACTCTGACTATACCAGAAGGGCACGGCGAGCCTTTGTCTCTGAAACACTACCTCATATCCATTATACAGATGCCAAAATCTTTACGTGTAGTCTGCCTTACAAATCTCTTCTGCTGGATGGCTCACGTCTGCTACTCTTTGTACTTCACCGATTTCGTCGGAGAGTCTGTTTTCGGTGGCAATCCGGCTGTAAGTATAATGTCAATACATATTTACTTATCAGTTTTCCCACTTTTAACACTAATTCAACGTTTCCAAACTGGAGCACTCATACAGTTTATCTTTGAGTGTACGACTTACACTGTTGACATACTTCATTCAGTTTCTCCGTAAGATGAATCAGTCATAGTAAATATTGTAATTTAATGAGGTCTTATGGGATTAGCTGACATATAATAAAACTTAAGATATTGCCGTTAGATAATCCGTGTGACTAACGTGTACAGACGTTTGCGAGGATGTGTCAAAACATTATGCAATGTATAAAAAACTGTTTACACAATCTTACAAATGAATAAACATGGAATGGAATTAAGAAAAAAAACTTTAATGTTTAAAAATATTCTATTTGATTCATTAATGTAGGTAAATGTTGGCACCGGAATATTTTAGTCTAGTTCACCTAAGACGAATTCTTTTTAAGTCAAGCAAAGCTCTATTTATTTTTTCAAATGCATTTTTTTAAAGCCTGCCAGAAGAATATACCTAAGAAGTTCAGTTATGTATTTGATATAAATTAATTACAGGCGCCTGTGGGTAGTGAAAGTCGAACTAATTATGAAGCTGGTGTTCGATTCGGTTGCTGGGGCATGGCTATGTACTCTCTTTCCTGTGCTTGCTATTCGACAGTTATAGAAAAACTCATCAAGAAACTGGGGTAAGCGCGTATTATTTGTTATATTTTTAAAGTCTTATACTTATATTATTCATTATTTAGTAGTACACTTCTAAAATAATAACATGTTTTCGGAAAATTACTAAGTGGACATACTGTTTTAAGAGTAATTATTATTTATCTAATTCAGTCGTATAGTTATTATTGTTCTCATTTTACTTCAAGGAAATAATTGTGATACTTCGTTTGTGAAAATATGTATTTGTGAACTTCGTTCACACTTGTTAAACATAACAGGAATGTTTCATAAAAAGTACTTGAATATTATAAATAAGATAAACGCTTACTTACCCTTCAACTTGGCAATGCAAGTATTTCCTCATAATAAGATCAGACGACCCTTGACTTTGCACTTAAAAGGTTTCAGATTTAAATACACCTTCAGAAATTAACCTCGTCATTGTTCTTAGAGGAAACCAAGAAAAGCAACAGTCTTAAATACCTACAGAAACAAAAAAACTTTAAGCATTCATATTCCTATATAATTTTAAGGTGTTACAAATTAGATTTATACTAGAATACAATCAAGATATAAACAAAACAGATATTCGAAAAATCAGATTAAAATAACGAAATAAAATCTAAATTTAGTAGCTTAACAAGGAATGATAGGAAGTTAGGAACTTAGTTGTAGATCCAAGAAGAATTAAATATTTCTTAAACTATGTACTTATGCTTTATAATCGTTTTTTATTTGTAGGGCAAAAAAGGTGTACGTCGGGGGACTTTGCACATACAGTTGTGGCATGTTTATGCTGTGTTTGCTGAGGGCGAGGGCTGCTGTTTTATTGTTCAGTTGGACAGCTGGCATTATGTACTCAACACTCTTCACCATGCCATACCTACTGGTTGCACATTACCACGCCACTGGCATGGTAAGAAACTCATTATTAATGGAGTATACAAATAATGCATAAAGGATTACTTTTGTCAATCATTTTCATAGATTAAATAAGTTTTTGGTATTTATTTTTATATAAAATTGTGAAGGATTTCGTTGCTTATTTAATACGAGTAATTAGTTGATCTTTATTACTTGATCGATATTAACTAAAAGTAGCAAAAAATCAAGAAATTGTAATTTAAATATAACATGTAAACAGTCAAAGATTTCATGTTATTATACAAGTTATTAAGTATCACGTACCCATTGATCATAATTAATATCAGATAGTTAAGATCATTAAAATTAACAATAGTAATTTGGGTTAACATACCTCAAGCCAATAGAATAGAGAATGGTCTCACCTTACCTATATACACAGATGTATTCAGATTTTAGTCTTTCAATTTCTACTTAACAATACTAGGACAGAATTAAACTAAGGATTACATGTACTATTTCTTCTTTCAGTGGGACAGCGAAGGCGGTGGTAGCGGCCAGCAGCGTGGTATAGGAACAGACGTAGCGGTGGTCAGCAGCTGTGTATTCGTGGCACAACTCCTCATCTCCGTCATCATGGGCTTCGCTGTCAAGGTCACTGGTTCTACAGCAGCCGTGGTCGCTGTGGCAGCCACATTAGCAGCAACAGCCGCTTTTACTGCTACCAAGATTACGTATCTTGATCTATAAAATACGTAAAACATGCAAGTTACATATGTGATATGCAATTTGATGAATTTTTATCTCCGCCAAAAATTATCGGCGCCATGTCATAGATATTGAAGTGCCATCGGTATGATATTCATCATTATTTGTTAAAACCCAAATGTAGGTACTTTAAGTATTTTGTTATTGATTGTGTGTATTGAGATAATGTATGAGTAATGAATTCAATATAAACATTGTTGCAAGTTTGCTATTGGTTATAATGTATTTTTATATTAGATTAGTTTTAAGAAGAAAAAGTATAAGTATTATATAATATATGCGCAGTAAGTAAAACATTTATGATGAATTATTATTAACTTTTCTTTTATAAACACGTTAAATTTAAGAACAGAAAAGGTTATTAGAATAGTATCAGGTTTGAGTGAAAAGTTATATGTATGTATTTTAGATTTAAGATATACATATGCACAAGGAAACAAAGTATCACACGATAGATAAAATAAAATATAAATATTTGTTTTAAAGAGAAAGAATCGTTAGTAATGTTGCTGCTATATAATGTTAATCAAAAAACAACATCACATCTTAATAATCTTATTAATATAAGCTTATATTCATAATTTGTGAAATCTCGCTTTATCTGTATGTTATTTGTATTTTGTAAAGATTATAAGAGGATTTTTGACCTTCACTTTAGGTTATTATTTACTTTATATATCTGTATTTCAGTATCTTTTTCAAATGTAAAAATAGCATGAAATTATAAAGCAAATAGTTTTTTTGACACACTTGTATCAAGATTGATTGTTCAATGAATACTATGCTATATTGTGTACAACATATTAAATATTATTTTTGTATCTACATATATTTAGTTCACACTGTAACATCTATATAAAATACTTCTTAGATTATACTATAGAGAGTAGGGAAGTTATAAGAAATGTTAAAATGTTTTGTTCATAGTTAGTTAAAATTAAATAGCATTCAAATAAACGATCATTTTATTTCTTTCCAATGCGAAATAAATGATTATCTATTTAATACAGCGAAATACTACTGAATTGATTTTGATTGAACCTTAATATAAGAATAATAAAGTCCAATATCGCTGTTTATTTGTCATATAATACTAAACCATATAAAGCTGCGACAAGCGTTTAGTTCTGCTTAAAGTTGAAGGTAAAATTACTCCGCGAGGTGAGACTTGCAAAGTCTAAAGACGTCAACTAGACATAATATATGCTAAGAGGAATATTTTGAGTTTCATAAGCATCTGCTTCACGGAATTTCACGGAATATTACTATGTTGTTTGCAACTTCTGTGTATTAGATAATACAATACTTATTCTTTGAAGACTTAATTTATTTTTTTGGTATATTTAAGAAACTTAATTATGAACGAGAATTTACTGGCGGAAGCAATATTTAGAATATAGGTAAATATTGATTTTAGGCATTCATTATAGGATTGTAGAATTATAATAAGACTTCGAGTCTAATTACGATTGAAAATAGGGTGAGTTAAAACAAAATGTACTTTCAAAAGTCCTAAAGATTTTATATTCTCATAATGATTACTTATTCCAAAAAGCTTACGATCATTCTGATAACGATTATTACTCAGCGAGATTACTCCCCTTCTATTATATCTACTTTAATTTTGCAAACAGCCTTGTTTCGCTCGATCAATACACTTATATCTATACTATGAAGAGGATTGGGCTTTGTTCTGTTCAAATAACCATTTATACAGGGCTTAATACTGATATAAACTTCATTAAACATTACATTTCTTATTTTCTGATACATATCTCTACATAAAAGGGATTGAAATTCGAATAATTAGATACTGTATTCATTATTTAGTCAGTCGTGGCCTAGTGGGTAGAGGGCCTGCCTCTCGTTGCCGACGGCGCGGGTTCAAACCTGGCAAGTACCAATGTGATTTTTCGGAGTCATTTGTACTTTCTGAGAGTATTTAGACACCACTGACATACGGCGAAGGAAAACATCGTGAGGAAACTTGGACTTATAGTTTCACAATTATAAGTTTGACATCACCAACCCGTCTTGAGCAAGCGTGGTGATTAATGCTCAAAACTTCTCCATGTGAGAAAAAGGCCTTTGCTCAGCAGTAGGCTCTGATGGGCTGATGACGTATTCTTTATTTAGTTTATTAATGTTTATCATTTATTTCGCAAAAATATATTCTAAATATATTCTATTTCGCAAAAATATATTCTACTTCTACTAATATATATTCGTTTAGTATAGGGGTCCAAAAGTTTTTTTGGTGTTGAACAAACTCAAACACGCACGCACACAGGAACAACGACAGAAAATTTTATTTATACAATTGGTAAGGTAAATAAAGAACAGTCGAAATCTTCACATTATGTTTCTATTTTTGGTAAAAATATGTTTCAAAAGCACATATAAACGTATACAGTAACAAAATTACTTCACCGCAATATTTTTTCAAAGCTGTAATTTTGTATCATAAATTGCAGCTGTTTTCACGTCAATAATATTTACCTCGCGAGTATTTATTTTAGCTTCGGGACGTTTAAATGTGTAAGCCGTTTGATTTATTTTGGGAAATCCAAAACGACGGCGATATACACGACTTGTGATTGAAATTCATACACACGCCATGAAATATCCTGCGGTATCGGCATTGGTTTAATTTCGTAACTTTAAACCTAAACAAATATAAAATGTCTGTGAATGCTTACTATAATTAATGTCGGTTTATTTTCTAAATTGTTTTAACTCACTTATGTATTTTTAGTGAAATACAAGTACAATATAATTATTTATCTTATGGAAACTTGCTTACAATCTAAAAAGTAGATTTTGTTAAGCATTTCTTTTGACAATGTACATATGTATTTATCAAAAGTATATTATACTTTTGATAGTCCTTCAACATGTTATTTTTTTTGTATTTTGTATTACAATTCAAAGCCCCAATTCAGCTTAGGTTATATAAAAAAAAAACAAGAAGAACATAATTATTAAAAATTAAGAAGAACATGTTTTTCTGTCAATGTCATCGGCCTATCAGAGCCCTCTGCTGAGCAAAGGCCCCTTTCTCACATGGAGAAGGTTTGTGCATTAATCACAAAGCTTGCTCAAGACGGGTTGGTGATTTTAAACTTATAATTGTTAAACTATAATTCCAGGTTTCCTCACGATGTTTTTTTCACCGTACGTATGTATGTATGTATGTATGTTTTTCTGTACTTTCTTAATAATAATTAATCGAAAAAGTTATTCGCAAGAAAAAATATGGATTTTCAAAAGTTTTTCATAATTATATATGGATAATATTTAAGATTAATGAGATGACCGCAAAATATGACACTTTAAAAAAATTCAGATCGATAGGTACTTCGGAAACCAAATATCAGGGAGATATCCCTGTTATTCTTCTTCTTCTACCTGGCAATTTCCCAGCTTTAGCCAGGGTCTGACATAGTCTGGAGATATTCCTGTTATTGTCTGAACATAACATACATAGTAACCATATTAAAAAAAATCGTACTTCAAAATAAACTAGTAAACAGAGATATTGTTTATAAGATTTTCACATTTGAATGAAAGTAAGATATAGCCTACATTCAAAGATAATACTAAAAATCTTAAAGCATTCTACGTGTTTGGTTAAAAAAATTTATAATATAAAGTATAGTATATCAAAAAACCATACTATTAATTGTTGGTGTAAGTTTGATAAAACATATTTATAAAAAATTAAGTTATATCGATATACAAAATTTAATACTTAAAAAATAATTTTAATGACGCCAATTAAAGGTATTCTTTTGCGTATAATTTTATTAAAATATATTATACTTATTTGTATTTCATATACTAATCACACTGTAATGGAAACACTATTAAGAAGGGATTTTGAAACAGTGAAATTCTGTTGCGGATGCTTTGCGTTGGCAAAGCTTGGTCTTTTAGGAATAAGGAAGGGTGGGAATAAAGGAATTCTAGGAAAAGGTGGGAATAGGGAAAGGCAAGGTTTTTAAATGTAACTTCTCGTTTTTTACTATTCCAGGACGAATTAGTCCAGACTTTTCGATTACTTTACAGTAACAGTGATCACGGGCAGACGAGATGATAGTGTATCAGAAACTATGTATAATAAAACACGCGCTGTAATATTCGAAAACTCAGTTTCATTTAAAGATTTCATAAAATACTACTCACATGTCATCAGCTATTCCAAGTAGCTATTAATCAAGTTGCGGATATTAATAATTCAGATATTCTATATGCTTTGATTTCCATCGCTGTTAGCCTGCGTTTTACGGATAGATCAAACAGATTTAATAGCTAAGGTCATTGTTTAATGCACTTTCTAATTATTATTTGTGGACAAAAAGGAAACATTTCCATTTTCATTGATACAAAAACAAATAACCGATTATTCTGTTTACAATTTTGTGCCTTTGCAACCTGTTAGGTAAATACGTAAAATGATTATTTAAAAAGCTTTTTGTAAAATAATTTCCAATGTTTTTTTGGGGATTTTTTTTACTTTAACGTTTTCTTTTTTTTAAATCTTTTTTTTGATTTATCTGAGCATAATCCTTACATTTTATAGAGAATAATAACAATTTATATTTCAAAACATATCTTTTATTTGGACTTCATCGATCGTTTAAATATAACGAAAACAAACAGAAACTACATACGTTCGCAAATAGGTAACATTCTGTTATTTGTGTTGTTGGATCGTCGAGTTCGGTAGATTCAAAGATGGGTTTCCTTTACTACATATGGTCTAAGTTTACTCAATGCAAAGCTTTAGAACAATCTAGTGGTGAACTAGAAACTTTGTTTTTCGAGTCCGTATATCGTATAACGTATTTCGCAGGTAATTCCACCTTTGTATTACAAAGATATTGCGTTTTAAATTTAGGTAAAGGATTTGGATGCCTAGTTTTGAAGTCCAATGAGTTATTCTTTTTTTAATTACTTTTTTAGGTTGGTCAATATTGGACAATACGTTCTTCTACTATATTTACAATAGTGTTATGAAGTTGTCGATTTTTTTTCTAATATTTTGTGAAACTTGGCAGTTAGTCAGTCAGTTCACAGGTTTGGATGATATGATTGATAATGTGAATGTAACTCTCATGCATTTTATAGCACTCTACAGATACAAGAATATGGTAAAATGGTCATAATATCTTTAAAACACCTAGTCAAGCAATTAATTATAATAAAAACCTTTATTTTCTTTCTAGAGAAGCAACTTAGGGATTTATAAAAATCTAGCATCCGCTATGGAGTCACCATATTTCGATATGTCGACTAAGAAACGGTTAAAGTTGGTAAATTTCTGGGCTGAAAGAAACGAAACATTTGTTAAAGTCCTAATTATTTTAGGATTTTGTACCTTAGGGATGTGGTAATATATATTTTTTGAAAATCTATTCACATCTCATCTCCATTCGACCATACGCACTAAAAGAAAAGTAACATGCTTAGTTTCGGAAATATAGTCGTTATTAGATAAAGACGAATTGAGTTGTCGTCAATAAAAACAGTTGAAAATTTATTGAACTAATAAACACATGTTTGTATACATATGTATGAATATCGAATGCATATTTTATTCTTTAAATGATATTAATTGGAATTAGTCACTGTTTTAATTAAAACTGGTTAGATTTCTACAAAACACGATAAACGATATATTTTGTTCTCGAGTGATTTTACAAAACAAAAGAAGTTAATATAGCCATCGTCACTAGCAGAAAAAACAATCCAAGTACATACATGTATGTATAAAGCCAGCATCAATAACAACTATTAAAAGATACTTATAAACTACTTTTTAAGTTTGTTTATTCAATTATAATTAATTTCAGGAACATTTATCCTCTAGTGGATGACATTGATTATAACCTAATGATATCAGCTCGTCTACCGTTTAATTATAATAGTCCTATCAGGTACCCGATAGTCTATTTCATAGTTTTGATAGTATTTAATTTCACATCTTTGTTCGTGATGATGAACGACCTCATAATGCAAGCCCATCTGATGCATCTGCTATGCCAATACACTATATTGGCTGATTGTTTTGAAACAATAATCGATGACTGTATCGATAGCGAAAACAGTAAGTAATCAGTATCGTACTGACGTTTAGTCCAAGTTTGCTTCGTCACAATACATACATATAAAGCTTTGACCGTTTCTATTAATACGTTAATACGATAATATTTGAAATTTTATGTTTAAAATACTATTAACATTTCGTACGTATCGTGACGATGCAAACTCAGAGTAAGGAATTATTTAAAAACATATATTTTTGTATAGAAAACTTTTTCATTTGCTTATGTTATTAGATAGTTAATAATACCAAATTTTCTTTACAGAAATTGAGCGTTCAAAACTGGTAATGACAGAGAAGTTTAGAGAGAGATATTTGAAGCGGTTAAATGATTTGGTGGAGCAGCATAAATTAATTTTAAAGTATCACATTTCAATTACTTATTACAAGTTATCTATAAAGTATTGGCAGTAACTAGACCCTCTTATAAATTTGGTATACCTACATAGCTTCCTATACATAAAATATAAAGAAAAAGTCAACATAAACCTATGTCATAAAAGAATATATTCTTCTAATATTATATATTTTATATTTATATATCTATATATTATTATATAAAGAGTCTATAGACTAATATTATTTTTCTTTATATTTTTGTCATAAAATAAGCACAAATGTATTTATTATATGTCTACTTTTCAGCAATACAATGGAGTTAAAAAAATCCTTAAGTGTCCCCATGTTGGGACAGTTGGCAGCAAGTACTATGCTTATTTGCTGTGTTAGCTTTCAAGCCACGAGGGTAAGATCAATTATAATTTGAATACTATGTAGTATGTAGCAACCATATCAGTTACTAATAAATTAATTGCAAACGTGACAAGGCGAATGGAAACCGCCGATTTATTCCGATAGGAAAATTTATTAACGAACGGATATTTTTTCTATAAATGATTGATTTTAATCGGCATTTAATTAGTTTTAACAATAACGGTTGTTACTCATAATAAAAAACAACCAATTAAATCGTGTCACATTATTCGTAGAACGCAATGGTTATATTATTTTGTTGTGGTAAAATATATATCAGACAGCATAATATTTGGTCCACGCAAATCCCAAGTTTTAGTACAGATATTATATCGGGATAGAAAGTATTTTGGGGATTGGTGAAAGAGCAAGAATCGTTGATCTAGGCTACAAGTACTGTTATATGTTAGCTATTGCAGTTATTTTAAACTTTAGTTTATATTTGCCATCAAACACATATGTCTTTTAAGTGTACTAAATACACTTTAGTTTTAAACAACTCTTTTCCCCTAATCGTTTGGATACCATTGCTTCCTGGTTTTTAACATTAAGCGCATATTGATTATTCAAAATTCTTTGCAGACTGCTGGAAAAAGTAATGTAAAGTTTTTCATGAGTGTCTTATATTTGATGTATAATTTATTTGAGCTATTCATATTCTGCAAGTGGTGTGATGAAATAAAATTTCAGGTAAGTTAATTGTATGTTAAAACATTTAAATGTAGACAATCTTCAAATTAACTTGTCGAGCTTTTATTTATAAGGTGTATTTTAGATTTGATTACTGGTTTCGTAAAAAGCAATTTTAAAAATTGGTTAAGTCAAGTAGTAAACAAAAAGTTTTGGAGAACATCGGTTTGTTAGGTTTAAACTTTTTTCTCATCATTGCCTGATATTTCTTTTAAATCGTAATGTAAATAGAAAAAGATAATTATTATGTCATTAATCATTATCACTAACAAACAAAAAGTTACAAAACAAAGTTATAGTGGATATATGGAGCTTAATACAACATATCAAAAACCAATACTGTGTCTTTATATTCTAGAGTGAAAACATATCCAAAGCGATTTACTGTTCAGGATGGGAGTGTGGTTTGATGGCGACGAAAGGTGTTCGTGCCAGACTGATGTTCGCTGTGATGCGAGCTCGTAAACCCCTCGTACTTAGTGCCGGCGGACTCTTTGATCTGTCACTAGTCTCTTATACGACGGTGAGAATTTTGAAAGAAGTATTGACATACACATTTCTTTTATTCTGTTTTACATGTCTTTTTTTTGTTGAAGTAGAACTGAAAAAGAAGCAGTCATACATACACTTATTTAATATCATTTTACATATATTTTTCGTTGAACTGTCTGATGAATTATTGACTTAATTTTAAGAACATTATCTACTTGACTAATCAAATTTAATTTAAGTTCTTGATTTTTCAATACATTTTTTTTTCTGTTGCAGTTAATAAAGACGTCATATTCAGCTGTAACCGTTCTCAGGAGATTTCAGTAATTAGAATAAATTTTAAAAAATCATTAAATAATGTTATGTAATCAGATTTTGACTTTAACTATTCAATTGATCCCACGTGAATATTGAAATAACCGATAAGTCGTTTCATTATAATATAAGGGTATAAGCCATTGTATTAATTCCTATATAATTATTTTAGCGTGACATTTGACTCGTATAAATAATTTCTGATAGAAGTCAGCGAGTTAACTGAAAATTAATTTAAATCGACCTAAATCGTTAACCAGAATTGAATTTTAATTACAATATCATTGGTTAAATGTCTATTTCCATTGAACGTTACAATGCGGTTTCAAATAATTATATTTATTTGAAGATTTTTGTAAAATTATTTTTAATGTCTTAATAATAATTATATAATCGATATTTATTTTACTCTATAAATACTGTATAAACTTTTGAAAAAATTATAATTTTAATCTTTATTAATAATTGAAATAATTTAAAGTGATCAAGATCAAGCACTCATTCAAAAATATGTTACATTATGTAAAACATTTAATTTAATAAAATAGCAATGGACACACGTAAATTACTATTTAAAGAGGATTCTTAGCTTTTCAACCCCAGATAGTTCTTGACCATAACGAATATAATATACATATCTAAAATGAAAGTACTCGGTAGGATTTGGAAAAATCTTACAAACACAAAGGCTTTACAATTAGCGAGTGGAGATTATGAAATTCTGTTTTTCGAGTATTTATACCGAATTACTTACCTGGCTGGTAAATATGAATTTCATTGCAAAAAGACATATTGTTTTTATACATTTTACTGTATTGTAAGAATTATATATATTTACTTATAAAAGTTCTCCTAGAGACTATTAATTGAACCAATCTCATCACATCATTGCACAAAGGGCCAAAGAAAAGTTTATTTCTTTGTTATAAGCAGATAATCGCCTACTCGGAAAAAAACTTCTGACGTAAAGTTAAGGAGAAAATAGACTTTAGCTCGATACTTATTCAATATTGTAAATAAAAGAGCACATTCATGAAAGAAAACTGTCTGAAAATATTATTGTAAACGCATAATGCTAAAACATATGTACATATGAGTTTTTAGGTATGTCTTTAGTGGATCGATCGCCGTACTACCTTATATATAGCAAAACGGTGAAGGCACTTTTAATTTTACTTGTAATGCTCGAGCTATGGCACTTTTTTACTATGTCAAGCAGCCTTGATGATATTATAGAAGGAGTTAATGTCATACTTATACAAATCGGAACATATGTCAAATACAAAACTATGGTGAGAATAATTACACTAATAAATTTCTTGAAGTAAAAAAAAAGGTAACTGTCAATTACTATTTACGTTAGAAAAAATATTATGTGGCCTATTTGAGCCATTGTTGTTAGTTAACTACGAAACTATAATAAAGGTTTTTGTGCATTATTGTTCATAGTAAACTTTAATTAAACCGAAATCATAATAATTCTTTGGAATATAAAACAACCAACACTTACTACTATATGTATTTTAAAAAACTTTTTGATAAAGCAAAAAAACAATATAAATGTGTAGTCATAATAATATATCAAAATTTCAAAGTTGTGTTTGTGAGTTGTCAAAATTTAATAGCATTAAAAATAATACAAAATCTAGGAAAAAAACAAGAAAGTTTTTAAATACTTGGCATCAGCGATGAATTCATCAAATCTGGATATATCAACTACCGAAAGAAAAGATATATTCTATTCATGGGGAAAAAGAAACAAGCAATCGCTTAAATTACTCATATTTTTGGGTACATGCACCCTCGTTTTCTGGTAAGATAAACAAATGTAATAGAAATTTTTTGTTACAAAATATGTAACTTTATTTCTTTCCTTCAGGTTCTTTTACCCTTTGTTTGATGATGCGGAATACAACCTTATAATAGTAATCAGTCTGCCTTTCGACTACCGAACCCCGGCCCTCTATCCGGTCACATACATAACTACATTCATTGTGTTCATGTACATAGCTTACTTCGTGATGTTACACGATCTTGTTATACAAGTCTATTTGGTACACCTCATTTGTCAACTTGCGATTCTAAATGACTGCTTCGAAAATATACTGCAAGATTGTAAGAAGGGATTTTCAAAAGGTAAAATAAAGCAAGTTCATATAAAATTTATTTAGGATCAATTTCTATATAGCAAATTTAAAAAATATTAATAATTCTTAACAATGTGTATCTGTTTTAGAACAACTAGATTCTATTTACTTGAATGAAGAATTCGTACAAAAATATGTCAAGAGACTGGGAAAATTAGTGGATCAACATACATTCATTATAAAGTTAGTGTGGCAACTTACTTCATTTACTTCAGACTGTATATTGTTTAAATCACTTCAAATTTTCCACATTTTGGGTTAAGTAGTTATTGTAGTTACATTACCTATTATGAGAAAGAGAGCGTTTGTCCTTTACCCAATTTTCCGTGAATCATGAATTCTTCTCAAACTTTTTTACAGTGAGCATCAACTCATTCATCTTATTTATAGAATATTTCAAGAAATAAGAATAAAATATCCTTCAAATATGATTTTTATTGTTTTATATTAAATTAATGTACTGTTTGTATATGTTTCAGTAACACTTTAAAGCTGAGAGACATACTGAGCACTCCCATGTTACTGCAAGTAGCAGTTAGTACGACACTTATTTGCTCCATCGGTTTCCAAATTGCTACAGTAAATATGAATTTTCTAGCTATACATATAGTCTAGTCATTGGTGCACAAAGGGGGATACCTGGAAAGTTTTCCGGGAGTTTTGAAAATTGGTGATATGGCACTACTATTAGATTTCGGTATGCTATTTTCATACCAAAATACAAAACCTATTAATTCACAAATTTTTTAATACTCCTGAAAAATTTTCCAAGTAAAACTATCAAATGTCTGGACTAATACAAATGAAATAAAAAATAAATCATTTCTATCTATTTAATCTTCTTGAAGTTATAATAAAAAAATATATAATTAATATATTTTCAGTGATGTAGGTTTATATGTAAAAGAATTGTTTAGTTTAATATATTGAACAATGGGCAAAGTCTAGTAAGTCGGATAGTATGTTTATAAAAGCGTCAATTTGAAATATAGTAAAAGTTAAAGTGGTATTTGAGTGTAAATCCTAGAAAATTTAATTAACATTTTCTTTAAATTGTTATAAACGAAACTAATATTTTCGAATTATTACTCGTGACTTCATTATTTTTAAAAACTACATACTTTCGAACTTTGTTACTTTGCAGCAACCGTGATCGAGCAGATGAGATGAGATCACGTTTGCAGCAAAGTAACCGAAACGTCGGGAGTATGGAGTCTTTGAAAGTAATAAAATAATGTGTAGTAATCCTTAAATATTAGTTCCATTTAGATGAATACTCCCGAAAGTCGTAGATCTCATCTTTTAATTGTTTTTTAGACTGTCAGCGTCAATGTATCGAAAATGCTAATGAGTCTTGTGTATTTGGGGTACAACATGATGAGTTTCTTTATTATATGTAAACGGTGTGAGGATTTAAAAATTCAGGTTTGTTTACTTAAGTAATATATTAAGTAATCAATATTATAAAAAAATTACATATATATTATATTAGTGGATACATTAATACTGAATCATCATGTCATCAAATTATAATTTAAAAATCTTTGCTTATTTTTTTTTAATTAAAAAAAATAGAAATTCCATCTCTGCGTTGGTTTTGCTTGAAAAGTATCTTAGTTTCTTTTGTTATTTTGGCTTTAATACAATGTTTTCAAAGAAAACAAAAAGTATTTTATAATAAAGAATTTATCCATTGTTTTATATTCGCCCTGTGTGTACGTGTTGCTTTGAATTTTATTTTATATAATAAGATAACCGCTAAATAATCTTTTAAGTCTTAACATTTCAGAGTACTAAAGTCGGGGAGGCGGTGTATTTTTCGTCATGGGAAGACGTTGTTGTAACAATTCCGAGAGTTCGAACCACTGTCTTACTGATCATTTTAAGGGCTCACAAGCCGATAGGTCTAACTGGTGGAGGGATGTATGAACTCTCTTTAGAGGCATACGGAAATGTATGTATTTTAAAAAGAAACATTTTTTTAAATTTTAATATGATGTAAAAAGACCAGAATAATTTAATTAATTAATGGCCTTAATTTCAAAAATATTATTTTTTCATACTATGTATGTTAGGTTTTCTTTTTAATAATGTAGTGTAAATAAACCAACTGACGGTGATTTAATGCATATTGCATAGTCAGTGTTGCTTGTAAGACTTTTCTCCAGTTGACCGATTTTTTAATTTCTTTAAAAGCTTTAAATATATTTCAGATGATCAAGACGTCGTATAGTGCACTCACTGTTTTGCTACGGCTTCGTTGAAAAATCACGAATTTTGAAAATAAAACATAACTTTCATGAGTACTAGCAAATTAACGGCTTTTAAAACTAGGGTCACATATTTGAAATATTATGAATTCAGTTTTCAAAATAAATGCACCAATTATTTTAGTTTTATTTATAACATTTTAATGTTTATACACATAAATATTATGAAGGCATATATTGGTAATATTATTTATTTATTATTTATTATAGTCTTTATTCAGATCTTACAAATAAGTGTTAACAATAAACTATCTTAAAAAATAAACATAATATCTTAAACTTAAGCTACTTAAACTAATATCTGTTCCTTGGTTATCATCGCTAGATCAGTTTGCCAGTCGGCAAAGGCCTCCTCCAAATATTTTTAATATTATGTGAACAAAACAAACAAACAATAAATAAATAAATTAAATAAAATAAAACATATTAAATCTTCGTATTATTGTACTGTATACACTTATGGAAAATGTAATGTATCAAGAATACAATCATAACTTTCGGAGATTTCCAAATAATTATCTTTGATAATAATTATCGTTAAAAATAAAGACATAATGATCCAATTTTTACCGTGAGAAAAATCTTTTAATTTATGATACTAACATAACGAGTCTCAGAAGGTGAGGTGTGTAATCTTTATATGTACATATCACTCATTACAATAATTCTTTAAAATATTTTAAATAGACATACGTCACTATATTTATACTAAGATATGGATAAAGGACAAAGATTCTGGGGACCCAACACATGTTATTATCCTGATTAACATAAAATTATCACAATTTTACTCAAGCTTTTGAATACATTTAATTGTTTGAGAGAATTAACATAGATGTGCAAATATAAATGACATTTTGTTACAATCATTTAACATAATATATTTTTTCTATGTAATAACATTTTTATAATGATACTTTGTTGAGATATAAAACATGTTTCGTATTATTCTGTTGAGTTGAGGCTAAATGAATAATGAAACATAAAATCTCATTGAAATGTAATTAATTCTATCTGGCGTCTATCTATCTAGCTATCTATATCTATATCTAGCTTTAGAACCATAAAATCCCAATTAATTCATGCTAATAATTGAAATCAGTGTTCATTTAAATAAATGGAATGCAATAAACTCAAATATTTCGTTGTTATATAAAAAACTATATGATAATTTTATTTTAAAATCGAAATAAATATGTAACTGTTCAATCATTCTGCATTTATAATGATTAGGTAAATTTATTTTGTAAGAACTTTTAATTACTATTATATGCATCCAGTATAATATGTACATATATATACATACATATATGAGTGTATATATGTACTTATTGTATTTATTTGGTCGCACTAATCAGAAGGTCAATAAAATTATTTCTGTTAAACACACATGTTGTTAAACAGATGTTTATTTTAAATCTGGTCGTTTGTTTGACAATATCATGATTCCATTTGCATAAATTTGCATGTCACAAAAACGTGAAGAATATGTATACAAAATCAAATAGTTATAAAGATAAAGTAAATCCTACATATGAATATATCTATTTTTAAATAAATAACAATAGATGTTGAATAAATACAGCAAAATATGTTTGTAAGAGTATTCATTTTGTTTTGTACATATATAAAAGATGCCGGTTTATAATTACGAACTACGATGTCCTAATTACTTAATAGAGCACTGTTTTTAAATGAGAAGACGTGTTTTCATAAGTGACTAATGAGTTGAAATGATTACAAACTTGTATTCATTAAAATATAAGAAGGAAAATTTATGTCAAACCTTTTATTTAACTTGAGATGAATTTCTGTATTTTGCTACTACTTTCTTACTTCTAATGATTTATTGAAATTGTTGAATTTTGACTTCGACATAAAATTACAAAGAAAGAAAACAACGTGTACATTGAACTTCATCTAATATAGTATGGTCAATGAACAACAAATGCAAGTCTATGGGAAAGAGTGACAACTTTTTCAACAAGTCCTAATGCATCTAGTTTCTTAGCTTGTCACTCCTAAGTTACACGTTACCATTTAGGGCTAGAACATCGGCATTACAATCATGACTCCATACTGAAGGTTTACTCTTAAATTCACCCGTGTATTCAATTCGTACATTCCATTGGCCAATAAATAAATAATATTGCATGATTCCTCCTATAAGCACTTGCCTTTAAATGAACACGAGTATGGACTTACATTTCAATTAGCAATTTGCCTTCACTTAACATTACTTACAATATTCCGGTCAGTCACCTAACTAACATAACCTCCGCTTGTGATTTGATGATAATAACCCAATACCAATAACGAGTTGTGATTAGAGAAAACACTGTCATTTTGATATTTTTATTACAATTTGTAATCGTTCATTAACAGAAGTTACAATTTAAAGTATATATTACATTTTTTAAATTTCCTTTAAATTGGTTATAATAGCTTTTAATTAATAATATAATTGTTTGTACCAATGTTATCCATTCAATAACTTTCTACTCTCGATCACATTATGAACTTATAATAAAACAACAACAAAGTAGTACATTGAGTAGCGTATATTTTAAACTATAAACTTACCGTTCTTATACTAACATCACAAAATACTGAGTCTGAAGCGTAAAAGGCAGGCATCGCCCTTTGTTTACTAGTGACGCATTAGGCGGAGCTGACTGCTTCAATGCAATCTATAAACTGGGGAGTCGTTTACCTTCCGTGCGGCGAGACGGCCGCCATGTGCGTAGATGCGTGAGCGCACTGTGGCATGTGCCAGCCAGAGAGGCGAAGCCCGCGGCGGCGCGCGGACGATGACGCGCTGGCTGAGGGCTACGACGCTTCTCCTTACTATAGCGAACCTGCACGCTTGGAGACCACCGCCGCAGCCCATCCTACTAACGAACACTTCCCACATCAGGCTACCGAGACACGCGAGAAGTATACATCACCTGCATATCCTCGGATGGCACCTGGAGTTGCAGGAGAATCGAGCGATTCGATCGCCGTATTACAACCAGTGTCAGTTTTATAAGGGACGTATTTTGTATGAAGAAGAATCAACAGTCACGGTGACAGAATGTGAGGGCCAGCTGTACGGGTTGCTGCAGGTTCGCGGCGAGGACTTTGTGTTGCAGCCGAATAGACCGGACGGGAGTCATGTGTTACGACGTCGTGATGTGCTCGTGTCCGAACAGCCAGCGATGTACAACCTCACAGGGGACACAGTGACTGACCTTGACATCGACTTCGAGGAAGATGGCCCTAAAACTTCCGCCCATGTTCATACTCGACAAAACTATCAATCGGACATCGATTATTTTAGAAGCATGCTCCCTGTTACAAGACCAGTGTCAGGTGTGTAAGTGCAGTGAAGAAATAAGTGAATAGTATAATATTATAAATAAAAATTATTATTTGCAGGTGGTAAAGGCCTCTGGCTGGAGCTAGCCATAGTTGCCGACCACACAATGGTTAAATTCCATGGACGTGAACGAGTGAAACACTATATCTTAGCTATAATGAATATTGTAAGTACATGTGATACGATGCCTGTATTGCAATTAATTACAAGTGCTCGTTCGTAACTTAAACAATTTATGTAATACTTTAAAGGTCAGTGCCATCTTCAACGACCACTCCCTTGATTCAAACATGACGCTCGTTATAAACAAACTGTTTCTGTATGAGGAGAAAGATTCGGTGATCAAATATGGAAACGTTAAGAAATCACTTGAGGCAGTCAACAAATGGAACTATCGACACCTCATGAAGCTACCAGCTGGTGAGAAAACATTCTTAATATAACAATTCAATATTGTAAAATAACTCAATTTCTTATAACTTTTTCATCTAATTCATTGAGTTTTGAGACAATATATTAAGTTTTGTAAATCAAATTGTTCCCATCACATACTTAAGTGTTTTGGCGACTTAAAACAAGATTCAATTTAATGTAAGTGAATCATCATTCATCGAATGTAAAAAAAATACATAAAATTGATGTGATTTATTTACTACACGCCAACCATCGAAGTCATTTGCAACCCATAATGCGTTTATAATTAAAGATCATTGCACTTTAATATATCAAAATGTTCAAATTACAAATAATACATTGTTTTAAATATGTAGATACATATAATTTTGTATTCCAATCGAATATAAGGAAAATATTTGTATAACAAATAAAACAGAAACTTTTAAAATAATGCATTTGACATTGCCTTGCAGTAATTTAAATAGACACGATGCAATGAATCAATGAAAATTAATAAGAACGCTATGAGATACATAAAACATTACACGAATTGCATAGAATTGTAACTCTTATCACGTCATGTGTTTCCGATACTCCTTATCAGTACCGAATATCTGAATACAACGGGCTACTACTATTTTGTAATACATGTATGTTTAAAATACCGTTTTTATGCTAAATAATTTTGACTATACCTACTCCATTTTTATTTCAACAGTGCTTTATTAAATTCTTCATTATTCGCAAGTCGACTTCCTACGTTCTTATATAATGGAAAGAAAATGAAATATTTTATTATCATAATTCTAGAATATTAATTTTAGTGACGAGCTATTGTTCAGAAAAATATTATATGCATATAAAAGTTTATGATTTCTTACGTATTTAGATAGCACGGGTTGGGACGCAACTGTATGGCTAACACGTGCGCAATTAGGGGGACCATCGGGATTTGCCCCCGTTGGCGGAGTCTGCACCCGGACAAGATCTGCTGCTATTGACAGAGACGAGGGGCTCACTAGTGCTTTCGTCATCGCTCACGAGCTGGGACATCTGTAAGTATTATAATAATTTACATTATATTTCCCGAAACTTGTCAGCGAACCCGGATGTTAGCGGTAAAAAATATCGCTGTAAATTTTGACATATGTCATTAACACATGAGTTATAGAAAGAAAAAAAAAACATTTTATCGCCCGAGGAAGTAAAAATGATAGGCACGTAAAGGCATTCTTGCATAAAATCAAATTTAAAATATATGTAGCAAATCAAACGTCTTTCTTTTTCTTTTATTCGTCGTTAACTGTGACTTCATAAATACGGGTTATTTCGTTTATAAGTATTGAAATCATTTTCATTACACTTGGTATCCTAAATGTAAAATCGAGTGCGTTTTCTAAATATGTTTCGTTAACTGTTACACAATTTATTTATAGCTATGTTCCCCTTACCTCAACATCTCAACACGTGGAATAATAAATAGGGATCCCTTGCCGCCTCACTAAGGACGGTTGATATTTACAATTTATAAAAATACCAACCATATAGAAAAGAATACCCCAATGTATAAATGAAACTATATTACCGTATTGACCTCTCGTATATTGGATTACATTTTTTTTATCCTGTTGGGATAACTTGCAGTATACATGATTAAAATACGATAAGTAATCAACATTTCTTGAACTTTATTTACCATTATCCAACACTAAATCTCTCTTTCTAATTAAGTTATATTAAATCAATACAAACTTACGAGTAAATTTGATATTCTAGGTATATTTATTGTACTATACAATCTTCGTCGTGTTGTAAATTTTATCGAATACACATTGAACATTTATGAATTTAATATTTACGCGCAGTTCAGCACATTTGTTGACCTTTATTGATGTCAGCATAACAGGTATATATGTAAAGTATCTATAAGGTAAACGAATTTCATTTACAATAATAAAATGGTGATAAAACATTATTATGCAATATTTGTTTGCTTGTAGGTTTAATATCATCAAATATAAAAATAAAATTGATAGAGCTTTAGTTTAAGATTAAATTATTTTATCGAGTGAATATAATAAGTTTCAAGCCTAATGGTTTGTTCTTTTACCGAGCCAGGAGCATTAAAGTAGGTCACGAAGGTAATCCAAGAACTTTTGCTGTCTAAAAATACACTTGACGGGCTCTGCGACCCCACATGTCAATATGACTGATTGCTCAAAGTAAAGTCTTTCAAAGTATCCTAGAATGTTAACGGATCATATCATTAGAATTTGAGATCAAGTATGAAGTCATACCTACTATAATGTTAGAGAGAAATATAGATATTGAAAAGCATTTATAAATGTGTCAATTTGTCATTTGTCATTCTTTGATTTTATAAACTTTGTTAACGAATTGGATTGATTAAGTAAAGATGGTTATGTCTTATTTTATATTTTAAAGAAATTTATTATAATTGTATCAAATTATGTTTTATTCCTACAACGATTTGGAATACATATAATTCATTTTAAAAGCATATTATTTGGTATCGTCATTGAAAATATATGTCTTTTTACCCGAATTATATTGATAATTACTTTGTTTTAACTAGTTTAAGATCACTTGTTTATTATTTTAATATAGCAAGACAATGTAATCAACAACTATCTTGAATGAACATTTACATTGTAAATGGATTGCGTTCAAAGTGAAGTTTACAACAAAGACTCCTTTGGTAGCCATTTAATTAGCACTCGATTTGCTTAAACAACTACGGCATGTCTGCTTCAATAAAAGTATATCTTTTGTTGTACTCTTCTTATAAAAGCATCTTCTATAAAAAAATACAGGGTGACTGGTGAATAACTATCGATACTTGAGGACGTGATATTGGACGATCATACATATATGACAAAATAAAAATTAATATAACATAAATATTAATAAACTTCTAAGTAAGGTTAACCAAAAGTTGTGTAATTAATTACGCATCGTGTGAACACCCTACAGATTAGGTGTACACACACACACACACACGCGTATGGCGGCGTGGTGTTGTATCAGCACGCCGCCGCACGCGTCCACACTTGGAACACTTGGAACGTGTCCACACTTTATTTATTTATACGGAAATTTGGTCAAAAATTAAGTACTTATTTTTTTTACATAATTCGAATGAGAATCATGTACCGAGTATTCTCCTTAAATATTGATAGTAATTCACCAGTCATCCCTGTATATTAGTTTTAATTTAAATTTCATATTTCTTCACCATTAATAACAAAACTGAACAATATTGATATATAATACGTACGTTTTTCTCTTTGAAATCGTGTCTTTAAAAGGAAGCTATAATAATAGCATACACGATTTTCGTAGAATTTCAACATTTTTTGCTAACTCATCATTGAGTCGAGTGTTTTATAAACAAGTCTTGATTACAGATCACAATTCAATAATGTCAGTAAACTCATCTTTTTGGACACGTGTAACGTATTCATTTTTTTATTGCTTGGAAATTGTATAAAAAAAAAACAAAAAAGTTTTTATTTGGACACGTAGTGTAAATTTATTTGATTGATCTATATACGTATGTTTTATTTCATATAACATTATTGTATTTGATATTATGACAATATTAATCAATATATCATCAATAGTTAAAAAAAGATGAACTGTTATTTAACAATAAAATATTTGTTTACAACATAAGCCAATGACCTTAATACTTCACTATGTATATTATTATTAAAACTTAATGAAATATATGACATCAACTTCGAAATATTAATATTAAAACTTTGACGTCATCCACAATAAAACTGACATTGGGATAAAGATAACATTCCGTCACTTTAACGTTATGTACCTACCATATGTATGGATTTGTCGGTCTGTATATAAACTGTTTTATTTCGAATAGCATCACTTGTATGTCATTTATACGCTGCAATATATTTTTAACAGCCGTGACCCGTTTCACTCGTGAGAAGATGCAGATCTTCAATTTCGATGTGATTGATTGAATTGAACACGCAACGAAAGGCTACTTATCAAATAGAGTTTCAATAAGCTAATTTTCGGTTTCGGAAGCTTTGATGTTTGATTTAGGAGTCAGGTTAAGATGTGATAGATCATATCTAAATAAATAATGACGTCAGATGTTTTAAATTATCATTTATTTTTAACATAAAAACTAAACTCCAGGTAATGATAACGTTATCAATTACAACAAAGCGGAGGTTCGTCGACATAATGTATTTTAACACTCCAGCCACGCTCGTTAATTTCACGAGTAATATCGCGGTTGAAGATTTTTTAATTGACCGTAAAAACTCCTATCAGCTGTAAAATGTACGTTGAAACTATTAAATTTGGAACAATGTCTCGTGTTTCATACATTGTCTGCTTTGCTTTGATTTTAAATTCGGGTTTTTCGTGGCGTTTTATTAAATTTAATCATTTTATCTGCTTTGAAGTTGTATAAAATTATAAGAGGTTCCTCGTAAAGGAATCTAATCAGTTCTGGAACGCAAATCCGACTTTGGACGCCTTAGAAAAGACTTATCTTTAATGTGACTTTCAGCTTAATTTCTACGTTAGTTGACCATTTAAGCCTGTAAAGGGATTGTATTTTTTTATTACTTTTGCATTACTCAAATCATCCTTTAATATTATAGGGATGAATATATTATTTAAAAATAATGAAGTAACGTATAACATAGTTGTATTATGCAATAAAAACTGTAATTATATTGTTATTTATCTATTTATTTTTCATCTAGATGAATAATAAATTCATATTTATTACGAATATAAAATTTTCTATTTATTACAAGTTAATTATTATTTTTAAACAGATTTATATCTTGAATTAAATGCGATATTAGTCCTTAATTTCGTACAATTCACACAAATTCCATACATACCTTATACAGGCTTATGGCGACTTTATGAGTAAATAATATAAACTTAAAAGGCTGTGCTAGAAACTGTACACTTAAAATGGTATATCGCTATATGTAATGAGTAATAATTAAAAGCTTATCTCCATAACCTTATTAAAGAACAAACTTTTTATAAGACACTGATAAAGACTGTTTTATAAGGGGACCATTGTTTATACGGCGTGCCTTAAAATTGTGGTTCTTTATTTAATTTATAGAGGATTTAAGTAGCTAACGAGATTTATTATGAACAAATAAATAATAAAATAAATTAATAAATGTTATTATGCTAAATAAAATCATGTTAATTCTATAAGAAGAGTTACCAAAATTTGGTAATTCATAAATAAGAACGGAATCCAATAAAATTTTATGTGATTTATTTTCAAATAATACTCTCTGAAAGTTAATGCTAAAGTTAGTTAAAATGGATCAATAAGCTTTGTTTGAAAAGCCGTTGGGATATGATTACAGTTTTTAGTTATAGTAATACCATTAAATAGGTTTTTGTATAATTTGATTTTGAAAATATACACTAATAAAGACTTAATTATATCAAAGGCATTAGCGAGATTCGATCTAGAATATTTCGGATATTAATAAACTTTTGAATCATATTTTACACACCTACTTAGTTTCATATAGTACTAATTTACAATTAACAACGTTCCACTTATAAAGATATCTCAATTTCTCAAACAACTGACTCGTAACTTTATGTGTGTAGTATAAAGTCTATTTTTCAGTGATGGAAATAGAACATTCATCTAACATTGTTCATAGGAGTAATTAACTTCATTGCATTGTACTAATTAGACTATTCGGCGAAAGCTTCATAGAAAAAATATTTTCATTTAATTTCAAATGAACCAATATTTTATGTTTCTATTATCTATTATTAAGATAAAAAAATGAATTTAATAAAGAAAATTATTAACATTTTTGTTAATTTTGAATAAAAATCTTAATTTTAAACGTTAACAAAACATGACGAAGAATAAAAATAAAGCCCCTTGTAAACTCTTTACTCATAAAACAAATATACCGGAGGTTTCTTCCAAGGCGATATAAATCTCTTGTAAAACAAATATTCTTTGTAGTTCCACTGTATTATTCCGTAACAGAAATGAAACCACAATCTATCACGTAAAGGTTTTATTCCGTCGTAAAGCGATATAGTTCGAACCAGTGATCAGAGGATTCTGCTTTATATAATATGTACTATTATATATTAGTTCTTATATATAACAATTTTCATTTCTCCGAATTATCCTTTGTATAATACGTGATGAAATATTCAACATTGTATATTAGTTCCTATAATAAATGTAAGGTAAAGATAATTCTACGAATACCACTCGATCTTCACCTGGGATCTCACAAATATAAATTACTACTAATTTGTCTGAACTATCTTGTCATATGCTTCTTGGGAGTTATGGTCTCTTCATTAATATATAAAAATGTTATTAGAGGAATAGTTCTACTACTTGCCGGTTATTTTATTGTATTATAATTTAACTTGTTATGAAATAAACAACAAACAATTAAGTATTATGTATGAGGACGTGTATCGGTTGGATTTAAATATATATTTCAACCGAAATACTCCGAATTTTATTGGTTTAATTTCAGTGATTCAGATTTGAATAATTTTGCCATAGAAATCGATTAAGTACAGTGAAGGAGGAGTAGGCGAGTAAATAAAGAAACAAATTTATTAAAGACTGTATTGAAAATAAACATTATAAATAAACATTAATATGGTGACCGTTTCTCCGTGTAAATGATCTGTCAATTTAATTTCTTGATCAATCAATCACACGTACTTATATAAGTTTTTATTTATGTGTGTAATTAATTGTGTGTATGTTTACATATGTGTGTGTGTGTCTAAATAAAAGGAATTCACCATCGTAACGTGTTATATAGTACACTATATATTATGAAAATAGAGAAGCTTGAACACAAAGGAAACATTTTCCTATATTTATTCGGACTGTTAGGAAGAAAGGTTCTCATTACGTAGTCCGCTTAGCAAAAATACTTGAGGGTACAATAAAAATAATTTCGAAAACTAGGCACGAGTTTATTTAAATCGTTGTTCCTTAAAGTCATAATTTTATAAAGATTATATTTAAAAAGGAAAGTATTCTTCGAAGTCGTTTACTTATAAAATTTTAATATAAGATAACTTTCGTTTTAATTAAAATAATTTTGTTAGAATCATTCACAAATTTAACAATAGATATCACAGCCTTCTGTGATTCCAACCCTTGCAATAGGGTTAAAGGCTTTTCATTTCCGAGATTTAGTCCTTTCAATAGATACTTACTTATAAGATATTCTATCTCAAATATATTCATATCAGCCATTCAACTGAAATATTACAATTATTTTTTAAGCCAACAATACAATTATGAATATTAAAATGTACGAATATTTATTCAATAAACTTTTAAATTTAATCAACTTAATTATCGCAAATGAAAGGAAAACTTTCGATATAAAAAATAAATATTAATTAAGTACTTAAAAACATAAACGTTGTATTAATTAAGAAATAAAAATCGTTAATGACGATGATTCATTTCAAGAGACAATGCTTCACAGACATGTTCATATCGAATGATTAAATGTACTGAAGCCGAAGGCCAATTGCGAGCGCCTGACGCGAATTGATAAATATCACACAAAAGATACCGACTCGCTAAGCTAATACGTACACTAAATAATTATGACATTCAAATTTAAGAATTATTAATACGAATTCAGAAGCTGAGGTGTTTTGATTCGATCGAACGGCAATGACATAAATAGGATTGGAATATTAGATCGTAGTTTAATATTATTATCATCAGGTAGACTATTGTAAATACGAAAGAAGTACAACTTATTATGAACTACTCATGCTGTTTTTTATATAGTCAACTCGAGATAATACATATTTTCTAATTTATAAATATGATAAGAGGAAAAAATATCAATGATACTTTCAATGACCACATTCACGTGTAAATAGAATTATCGAATTTGCATTAGTTGCTTTTTTTATAACCTATTTGATTAATTAAAATATTTTGACATTAATGCTAAACTAAAAATTAGGCTAACAAATCTGTTTTGTAACATCTATTTTTAAACTGTTGAATCTTATTCATACCATTTGTAAACTATGTCCATATGTCTTTTACAATTCATGCAAAAATGTATTCCCAACGTACATATTTTCTTATAGTGAGGACCCAATACCGGACGTTCTAGTTATTCCATATTAAGCATTTATAGAATATAAACTATTTTTATTAAGTCTTAGATGTTCTTGGTAGTATATTATATAATTTTATTTTCACGCTTTTAACACTGTTTCAATTTCTGCAATTTTCTTTAAATAAAACCATCCAAATGTAAAAAGGTCTTAGAATTTTCTGGATCTATTTGTAACGTGAATTGTCCAAGATGATGTTTTCTAAAGTTCCCTGATAAAAGTATTGTTTGTGAATAAATATTATTTATAAATCCAGGTTGGGTTTGACACACGATAGTGATGAACAGTGCGAATCTGAAGGAAACCGAGGTTCAGTAATGGCACCAACAGTATTGGCGACGCTGCATAATTACGCATGGTCTTCTTGTTCACGGGAACAGTTCCACGAGAAGTCTAAGTATGATTTAATTCAACAGCTTATCTTTAAATTGTGTTATTACAGTATCTAGTCTTTTATAATTCTGGTGATAATTTAATATGGAGTATAGTATTTATATAATCATTCCTTGTTTAGGAAGTGGTGGTGCCTTCATGAACGGAGCCAGGACGATGGTGTTGAATTAGGCGGTGCCAAAGAGCTTTATAATTATGTTTTCACCATGGATGAACAGTGCCGTACCGAGTTTGGGGAAGGGTAAGTTTTATTAATAATATATATTTTTCTTGATACATAACATTCTATTATATGGTCCATATCTCGGATTATAACTCGGTAGAAAAGTTGGCTGAAAAGAGAAATTAAGTTGTATGTAATGACCATTTAGCACATGTTAAATAGTTTAGCAAAATGTGCGCATATCAAATAAAGAGAGAGCTGTTACGTCAACTATTTGAAAGTTCAGGGCACGTGTAGTGACTGCCTTTTTAACAGATGATATACAAACGAACAGATACATCATAGTTTAACCAACTTTTATGAAAAGAGCTTCGTTTTAATCCTTTTAAATTGAAACGGTGCATTTTGTAGTGAAATTATCGTTTGAGTTTAAAAATGTTATGTAACAGTATTAAAAAAGTCTTTATTTTTATAAACGAGTACTTTGTTGACACTTTTGAGAAAGTCGACTGAATATTTTTGTTTCATTTTATAAATGTATATAGAAATACAATACAATAAAATATTTCTTTTTGTTATCGGCTTACATAATTGTATGTATAGATGTTCATTCCATAGTTATATACGTTTATAACCCTTTTAAAATTACAAAGAAAATACTCAATTTTCATATATAAAATATAAAAAAAAATACAAATTGGCTTTATTGGCAAAGCGGCTGGGGACGAATGTATCGGAATTTTCAGATATCAAATTTGCTTATGCCAATACATTTTCAATTCTACATTATATATGTCGATTGCATTTTGGTAAACATAAAAGCCTTTGCTAAAGGTTTTAAATTTACTCATAAGATCAATGTTAGTATTATTTTCTATGGCACAAACTACTTTTGTAAAAAGAAATTAGTACCCAAGCACCCGAATAGTTTTGTATTAATTTTAGTGTGAGAATTTCTACCTTAATAAGTTTGATAAAAATTATATAAATTTGAAATTTATTTGTAATCAACTCTTAAAGTCGTATATTCAGTATGAATGAAGATTTAAAATTTTAATTTACGCCTGTTCTTTATCTGATTGGTCGCTGAAAGTAATTGCTTTTCGTTATGGACAGGATACATAAATATTAAAAAATCATGTAAGCTATAATGGATATGTTATCAATAAATAAACATAATTTATCAAAAATGTGTAAATGAAACTGGTTTATTTTAAACATTTACTTTATCTTTAAATTAAAATATATTTATATCACTTGAATCTCAATTTTAAAAGTGTCTGCAATTTCAGTGACAGCGTTTTAATCTTATTATCGAAATAATCATACAATGTTTGTTCCAATAATGCAATTTAATTACGATGTCAGATTTTAGCGAAACAAATAGCTATTGATATGTGTAAATGAATAGCTCATTTTAACGAAATTGTTGCCAACTATCGCGAGCACGTAATAATATAAATTTATTAGCTCTATGTCGCGTTGTTGCTTTTCCATGAGTAGTTTAATGCAAATGAAACTTAATTTAATGCCTTTTCTGAAACATATTTGAATAAATAGTACAATGTCGCGGTAACAATTACTAATAGATTTAGTTAATTAAATGCGTATATTACATATTGGATAATGAATGAATATCAAAGATTTAGTAAGAAGCCCACAAGTAACGATTACAAAATAATGCTTTTAACAACCTTAATAGACAAGAAGTTCATGGTTGGTTTTAGTAAAACTACGGTTTTATTTCAATTTAAAAAAAATTGAAATATACTTATATACTTGTCACCTATACGACATATTTGTAAAAACAAAAAATATTATGTATTTTAAACTTAAAGAGTAACTGTAGAGAAATACGAAAAAAATAATCTATAACAAAAAAATCCTGGATCTTCTCAAAACTTCAATAATAATAGTTTAAAATCTTTTGAAACAGTAATTATGTTATTAAATCGCTTTTAATGTAACAAACAATTTTGAGATGTGAATATTCAATATTCTAGAATAGACGAAAATGGCTAAACTTCATTAATATCAAATATTTTTATACTTTTAATGCAGATTCTCAGTATGTAAGTCGGTGAAAGTAAGGTCGGCGTGCGCCAAACTGTGGTGCGCTCATCGTGCCATGCCCCACGTATGTCGTTCAAAACGAGCGCCACCTTTAGAAGGGACGCCTTGCGGAACAAATCAGGTAAGTAGTTTTATTATTACATAAAATCTAAAGTATTAAAATGATCCCGTTTTGTTGAAAAGCAAAAAGAGGGGAGTTGAGTAGTTTTATAGTTAAATAAAATTAAAATCGTGAGCGAAAAGAGGGGTGTTATAAGTGTGCATGTGTGAGTTTGCCTGCGACATCATAGCTATCAAAATGATCGACTGATTTTGATGCGATTATCTTCATTTGTAATTCTTTTTTCCAGTGTTTTTAGATCTGTCTGGTTAGTATCCATCGAACAGTTAAAGAGATTTAGCTATTTTTCGAAATGATTTAAGCCTTTAAGTGCCAGTGACATCGGTAAATTACCGATGACTGAGTACTGAGATGTGAAATATGTAGTAATAAATAGCTTCTTAAATTAATGCTTTGTGTTATAAATAATATAGCTCTCGCAAAAAAAAATCTCATGTTAAGAAGTCGTTGTATACTTTCGTTTTGAGAAAGATAATTTCGAAAGTATATTTAATGAAGATTATGCATAGGGTTACATGTAAGCAGTATAAAAAATCCATTAGTTTTAGTTACAGCAGATTTGAATACTTGCTTAAATAAGTAAAGACTTCAGTTTACCTACTACACTACTACCACATTCATGTATTTGAATTTATACATTGCTTTTACATCGATAGCTTTATATACGTATATAAAGGTATTGTAATTTAGAACTTGTCATGGAAAATGGGTTTTCTATATATTCAGGAGAATTACGCCCCGAAAATTATTATTATGCTTTTCCATTCGCCTCGTAAGATTTACGATAGCATATCAAGTACGTTACAACTCTTTCTATACGCGTATAATATGTCTTTGTTATTCAAGATTCGACTGTGCAGGTTCCTAAAAAGGACGACGATATATTAGCAATTTCTATCATGTAGATGTTGTAAGTTTATAGGCTTCCTTATATTTAAATTGTTGCTAAACATACACCACATTTAGTTATTTTTAAATTAAGACATACTATACAACCTTTATAATTTAGAACTTTATAGATTCTTTGAGCCGTAAGCAATAAACTTGACACTATAAAAGCAAAGCTCAAATTTTAATACACTTACGCAATAAGAAACGGTAAATGAAGTCGTAAAACTTTTATTTTCTACATATGAACGAAAATAAAATTGTGTTGAAAATTTGTGACAGATTTTCATCCATTTTCTTTGTTTGAACGAATTTTAGTTAGTTTGTCTTCAATCGACACTGAAATTTCAATTTAAAATACGCCAATTTTGTTCAAAAATTCTTTAAGCGTTTTCTTGAATCATATTAACCACGTTTCAATTTCTTTGAATAATGTAATAAAGTCCCTTTCAAAGCTTCTTTGTGGATTTGTGGTTCGAAAAGAAAAATGTAAAATTGACACTTTATGTACTGCTAAGCATATTTGAAACTTTAAAAATGCATTATTGAATAAATTAAGTAGTTTCGTTTGCGACTGTTAATTTAAAACGTAAATAAATTCTTAGGTAAACGCTAGACTCGAGATCTACTAACCATATGACAATATCATTATTAAATTTTAATATATTTAATTCAACATATAATTCTAATTAAATTTTGGATATTCAGAAGTATATGATAAGTATGAAGTTGACACTTCATATTTCTCTTTTAAAAAAATCTTCATTAGCATATTCTCTACTTTAAATGAAACAGTTTGAATTCAAAATATTTTAATTACCACACGATATTCAATTGTTTCTGTTTAAAATCTCATTATATGTGTGTATGTATTCGCTATAATCTCCTATACACTCTTGTTGGTGCATTTGAATGAAATTATAAGTAATTAACATGCGGGCCACGCTATCTCTGCACTTTAACATGCTCTAAATGTCATCTACAGTGTTCTCATAATTTATATTAACTAATTATAATAGTTACTTTAAACCTAAAACCATAACCCTTTGTTAAAAAATATATAAATTCGTATCGAAATATTTGCAGTACATATTTGCTTTGTTCATTTTATATTTTAAATGATATAAATAAATTTATTTTACTATGAATCGGACTCAGTGTTGTTTCCGTGAACATTTCAATAAACAGTTATATGTATAATGTATATACTATTCACTATTGATTGTTTATCAGAATAATAAAAATATGGGTAAAAAATATATACCTACCAGTTTTTAAATTTTCTTTATCGTTAAGTTCTAGTAAGTTTTTCACTTGTTTCAATAAAAATAAAACTGAGATATACAAAGTTTTTAAGCCCTTAACTAGAAGAAATCATAGTGGTAAACAGAATTTAGACTTATAGATCCAGACTTAGAGACGGCATATTGAAAATACAAATAATATTCAAAACGATGACATCATAAGTATAAAAATAAAAATGTCCTAGCGTTGTGTTTATAAACAAAGAATAATACGAATGAGCTCAACATTGTTGTTTTTGGCACCATCTTAATAATATTTGAAGGTTACACACGTTATGATTATCTTCCTAATTAAATAAATTTATTCCCTTTGTTAAACTTATTTCCTGGATCGAGGCCAAAGGTGACTTCTATTCTTATCTCATTTGAGTGACATTTAAATCCTTCTCATATATAATTATGATAAATTTTTCTTTGTACAGTGTCCTTGTCTTTATTTATCAAAGATCAACATTTTTAAGAAAACAAATATGTCTTTATATTAAAAATGTATTATCATTTCAGTGGTGTGTTGATCGTGTTTGTGAGCCGATGCCAGGTCATGGTGTTGATGATAAGAATAAGGAAGTAGAATCGAAAACACCGCAATGGGGTGAATGGAGTCAGTGGAGTGATTGTAACACTGAGTGTGGGTACGGCCTTCGATCACGGACACGGAGATGCAAATATAAAGGGTAATAATTGGTTTATAAGAGGGGTAAAGTAAGATTAAGGGGTTGTATTTATATATCTATATATACGTCTATAGAATATTCCCAACTCGTCCTTTGTTAAGTTCCTTTTCAGTTACATCAAAATGAAACTAATGTCATATACATATTATATAAAATGTGTATTCAAACAAGTTCCTGATAGAACAAAGTTTTTGACCTATATAACTAATAAAACGATATTTTAAAAATCTTTAAATATGAATTATGATCTGATGGGATCTAAGATTTTCGCGAGTTTTATTCATTTAAATAAAACTAACATTTTTCGGATTATACTACGCGACTTTATTTTTGTAAAAAACTACATACTCCCGACGTTTTGTTTTTTTAGTTATATAGATCAAACTTTATATACATCTGACTTAACATACATTAGAATGATGATCACGTCAATCTCCATAATATAATAACATACATTTCTTACAACAGGGTGACTTCAACATTATGCGAAGGTGCGGGTTCCCAAGTATCTACATGCTGGACCGGAGCACCCTGTGCTAGCACAAGGGACGCGAGATCTGACGCTTGTTCCAGACAGGCAACTAATTTAATACCTCATCTACATATTGATGGTAATAAAACTGTTAGAAATATAATCCACAATGATCCTTAAAATGGAATTACCTCAATAGTTATTTAAAATGATTATCGTCGACTTAAATAAAGGCATAAGTATGCAAGGTTATATTTAAGTCGTTCAAGATGCGACAAGTTCCAATAATAAATTTGTACCAAACGAACCACTACGTAATGCAACAATTTATAATGTTAAACACGTGCTGTACATTGTGTGGTTAATTATACATAACCTCAGATTAATTCAGTCATCACATGCCTTACACGGCCAGTTGCTAATGCAATCTAAATGCGATTTAGTTTAATGTAACTGATTGGTTTGTGGCTAGTATTAACCTATTTCAGACGAATATTACATGTTTATTTATATTAGCATACAAATATAAACCTATGACTATATTGGTATAACATAAGCTTATTTTATATTTTAAAAATGCAATTCTTTCCCAGTTTCTTGGTTATATCCTTATAACAGTAATCAATGACGGTAATCGGCTTTTGGACAAATAAGAATTATTATTAATTAAAATAGATAAAAAAGATATTGAACTTAGACGGTACGAATATAATTTTTAATGCTTTTTACAGTAACTTTTAGGAGTTTTTTTATTTTATTTTTTTAATAAATGAACCTCAAAAACACTAATTATTCCTCGTTTATATGTGAATTATGATACCGTCTTTTATCAAAGAGATAATTATTTAAGTTTTCTTTTTTCATATTTTTAAGGGAAGTTCTTAAAATATCTTGGTTTAAGATATAATGTGTGTTATATTTATTATATCATTAGAATCTAATCACTGTGAGACATGGTGTGTGGATTTCGCTGGTGGTAATCCTTCCAACTATGGACCACTACCCGATGGAACACCCTGTAGTTATGAGAGACCTTACGATCTTTGTTATCAGGTAAGCAATACAGATATAGTGTTAAACAATATTGTTAAGAAGCAATATTATGAATTAAATTTAAGTCTTTATCCTTTCAACAAAATACATTGATGCGTTTTTTTTTATTAATAAGAATAAATACACTTAACATATCAACATTTCAATATTTCACTTAGATTCATTATTATTATTTATGTATTTTTTTATTATTTACTATTTATTTTATATTATTTAAATTATATATGTTACATGTTGTATTATTCTTAAATAAATTTACTAATGTTATATCAGGGCACATGCGTGAAGGGGCAATGCAACGCAACGGATCCGGTGTGCAACTGGTGTCCTGATGGTTACTGCAACAATAATACACACATATACACGCGACAACTGGGCAAAGGTTATATTATTCATATGCTATTTCTATTAAAATATACTTAAAAACTATCTACAGTAAAATCTCGCAACGTAACTCCTTGATTATAAATTTAACTCATGTTTTATACAGGTTGGACACGTTTGACGGTAATACCTCACGAAGCCGCACAGCTTTCAGTTCACATAGCCACCCCCGTACCACTAAACATAGCGATACGTGAGCGACGCCGTGACCGTCCAATACTACAATTGACAAAACATTCTAGAACTATCGAGATAGATCACAAACAAGACGAAAATCACAAACAGGGGCAGGATTATTTGAAGTACTACGTGCCACAGAACTTGCAAATCATAGATGTGGATAGCAATGTTTTGGATATAAAAGAACGCTTCGGGCTCGAAGGAGAAGTAGCAGCCGCTGGTAGTCTCTTAAGATGGACTCAGACTGAATCTGATGTAATGATAACATCAACATCAAGATTACAAACTGATTTAATGATAATGGTTAGTATTTATCATATACATTTTATGTAATACTAGCTTTTCGCCCGCGGCTTCAGCCGCGTTGAGTTCGGTTATATCGCGTTTCCAAGTGAACTTTTCTAAAGTCTCGAATAAAAACTGTCTTATGTTCTTTCTTAAGGTGAACTCTATATCTGTACCAAATTTTATTAAAATCAATTCAGTGGTTTAGGCGTGAAAGCGTAACAGACAGACAGACAGAGTTACTTTCGCATTTATAAAATTAGTAGGGATTTGTTTCCAAATAAGCTTATTATTGTAACATTATAGAAAAAAATTCTACTTCAAACATTTGTGGTACATATTGTATGAAAACTAGACTACTACTACATATACCCTAGATACAAATATAAAACCCATTAGTATTTGAAGTCAAATATTGTATCTTGACACTACATTTCAATTCAAATTCTGTATTATTTCAAGAAACTCTTGGGAAATAACGGAATGAAGTCGTAAGAAGTAACAAAAATACGAATAAAAAAGGGATTCGAAATATGTGACGGGTGACACGAAACGAAGTGTCGTATCTTATGGTATAATCCCGGGAAGATTAATTATAACCAGATGTTTTAACTATACTAAATTTAATTAGAATTTACTTCTAAGAAACTGTCCTATAGTTTCAAATTAGTTTCTATTTCGTCATCGGAAAATAAATTCATGACATGTGTAGTTAATTATACTCGGATACGACTTTATATGAAGTTATTAACTGTCTATATTTTTAATGGACTATAATAGAAACTTTACATTCTATATCAAACTGAAATAATACGAAGTGTTTTTAAGACAATGAGTAATAGATACAGATTTATCGTTGCCTTGTAGAGAAATAGATCAAATAATAATATATTATCTTGACTAACAAACACTAATATACTCGTAGTTTCAATAATAATAATCATAGTTGTAAATATTATACTATGTATTAATAGAAAACATTATGGAACCGCAACACACCGAAATGGAATACATTACTATTTCATACTTATCTACAAAATATATTAAAAAATACAATAAAAATATTTCTAAAAATTGCATTAATTGGAAAGCTTTGCTTAGAATATATAAGAAGCTGAATAATTGAATTGATTTTCTGAGCTTGACGTTGTATTTGCAGGCTGTTCCGACCACATCTACTGAAGACACGATCGCTGTGGAGGTATCTGTCAACTACAGTACACCTGCCGGCCGTACACGGCCTTTGGAGTACAGGTAACTTGGAAATACTTTCATTCATTTTATTATTGTATGATAGATTTCTTAAAAATATCTATTGAAATAGTGAGACAATCTGAGAGAGACTTTTCTAGAAGCTTGGACCTTTTTTTTATTTTAACAATAATCTCAATGATTATATAAACAAATTAATAGTTAGTATTGATAAATTTTATTTGGTTTAAAATTGTGTAGAGAAATATTAAGCAGTCTAGATTATTCACGATCATCCATTACGAATTATTTAATAACTAACACGTGTCAGATAAGTGATACGACCTTTTCAATATTGAATGAAACATTCGTTTATGGAGAGAAAACTCTTTCCTTATTAAACAATGCTGTTAAGCAACACACCCATTTAAATTTCGTGACGTTTCTAATCAAATATTCACAAATAATCATCTCACGAGTAATACTTGATGATTTTGAGGCCTGCTTCAGTTTTTATTCATTTGGAAGGAATTACTCACGGCTATTGATTTTATTTCTATTCAATTGACTGTAACACACTCGCTAAGGTCACTCACTGTCCCAAACAATATTCGTCTTTGAATTCATTCACTGACAACTAACTTTATAGATGTGTTTCTGTCGTTATATACATTTTGTATTGAACGAAATGATCCTAAACATTACTGTCATATTAATAATAATAATGTATATCCATAGATCTATTTCAACTTATGGTATTTAATAAGTAAACTAAATAAGCTTTTACTCTAATCATTTCACTTTTAAAGTAATAACAATCTGTTTGTTGAACCGCTCCTCGATGGTTGTATTATAATACTCAGTAGAGAGGGTCGTGTTATTAAAGACACAGGTGACTCCGGACGGGAGAGAACATTCAAGGAAAGTTATGAGCACCTGAAACATTTTATACATTAATTAATTCACATGAACTAATGAAATACTAACCAGCTTATAAAGGAATTGTTTTATTTATAGAAATATATGTATATTTGGTAAGTTAAATGGCAGGAATATAAGTGAGTCTTTTATTCTTATTATACATATTTATTTCTCAACGTCGTTGACAAAAACTATTTACTTAGGTACATAAATTTGCCGAAATCTCTCATTTAGATAGCAAACTATCTTTTTACCTTAACCGTATTCTTTAATATGTTTTTCGTGTATTCTTTACCGTTATGTTTTAACATATAATATAATATAATATATGATTTTAGAGTTACATGATACGGCCTATGAGTGATCGTATTATTTTTTCATACATTTAACAGTCCCAACCATTTATCTCTACTAATATTATAAATGCGAAAGTAACTCTGTCTGCATGTTTCGCTTTCAAACCTAAAGCACTAAACTGATTTTAATGAAATGTGGTACAGAGATAGAGTTGACCTTGAGAAAGTACACAGGATATTTTTTATCCCAGACTTTTGAAAAGTTATCTTGGAAACTCGATATAACCGAAATCGACGCGGGCGAAGCAACGGGCGGCAAGCTAGTATTATATGTATAAATTTTAACTATATTTTAAAATATTCATTCTCATATCATTATTATTTCAAATCTGTCTCACCTTACATTTAATAATACCTTTAATAGTATTACAGGCATAAAGAAGAGTTTTATAACATTTCCTAAAACAATTTTTAGTAAAACTAATATAAAATTTTTGTTTTCAATGAAAAGTCAAAGACGGGAACTTTGAAACCCTATTAAAACTTTAAAAGCAAACTTAAAAGAAAAAAGAATTAAGCACACTCCCTCTAAAACTGACATTGTTAAGTTTCCAACGGAACTGTTTTCTCTTCTATTAAATTGAAGGCTCCGATTGTTTATATCGACACACACACACGCACGCACACACACACGCACGCACACACACACACACAATAAAATAATTATAGTTTATACAGTTTATACATTTCCTTTAGAATGTTTAAGATATTTTTTATGAAAATAATAAAAGGTCGAAAAATATTTCTTCTATCCTGGTTTATCTTGTTTAACGATTAAAAATTTCGCAAATACACATTTAAAATAAAACTGCTATATTCTTCAATTGATTTTATTTTACATTTTCCCGGAGCTTCGATAACTTTACAGCAACCGTGATCACGGACAAACGAGGTGAAATATCTCAGACAATGAAAAATGAAATAATAAATCCGAGTAGTATATCCGAAAAACATAATTTCGATTCAATTTAAAAAACTTTCCTCTCTGAAAATTATAAAATCTTCATCATTTTGTTAAAACATCAAACAAAAAGTAGAAACATATAATAAGTTACTGTGTATATAATAAGAAAAAAAGTGAAAACCTCTTTTTCTCATAATAACTTGTAATGTATAAAAAATGTTAACGATTTTAAATTAAATATTCCCTGTCCATATTTTTGCTATTCAAATAATAATATATCGGAATTATTTTCTTTTCTTTTGAAAACCCATTATTTTAATATTAATTAACGCATATCATTTATCTGACAACATGACAATTATCATGGGCGTTTATTTATGAAGTTCATAATTTAAATTTTTACTGAAGTGATACATTTATAATATAACAAACAATACTGATGTTATTCTGATTATATTTTTATCTTTACATCTAGAATGTATTACATTTTTAAATCTTTATACTATACTACATAGTTTTTGGCCGCGACTTCGTCCGCGTTAATTTCTTCATTGGTAATATATATATGTATAGCTGACCGGGCGAAGTCTGTTCCATCTTAGAGGCCATAAATAACCAGGTATTGGTATTTATTAAATTTTTCCTGTTTCAATCGAACCAAATGATTGACATATTAGTTAGTTGTCAAATAATGTCAAAAAAACGTTTATATGGGAAATAGAAAAGGGGTGGGATCACACGGGAATGCTGTCATTCTATTTTCAAATCTTTGTTCTAGATGGTCGAGCGAACGCGGTCCGTGTTCCGTATCTTGTGGTGGTGGATTGCGCGCGGTACGACCCCGATGTCAACGAGGCGGTCAGACATGCGGCCCGGTGAGATATGAAACTTGCAACTCGAACAGGTAATAACAAATTAAGTAATTTAATTTGTCGCTTACATTGGCTGAATGATGAAGACCAGTGCTTATCTGTAACTTTTTAATTTGACGTTTCCTTGTAGAGGCTAAGGAATGACAGTTTATTATCTGTAACTTTTTAATTTGACATTTATGTGTACCGGCTGAAGGAAAAGACTTTATTATCTATAACTTTTTAATTTGACGTTTATGTTTAACGGCCGGAGGACAGTTTTTTATCTGTAACTATAAGTTATACAAACATGTAGTTACAGTTGACTGGTAAAGTGTAAATCTATTTATCCTGTGACAAACATCTCACAGAAAATTGGCGTAAAATATTGAATTAAAAGAATTATAAGCGCTGAGTCTCATAATGTATTCCGTTTCCCGAAAAATTGAAACGGATTTTAACTTTATTACAGACAGTGAGGAACAGTAAGAGCTAGATATATGGATTTTATTGGGTTGAGTTGATTATTATTCTAAAAGCGGTAAAATTCTTACAATATTACGTTTCTTTTTATTAAAACATTGACTAGTTGGTCAAACAAACAAAACAACACTGCAGTTAAAGCGAAAAACATTAATTTATACTCTCAAAAATCGTTACAACTTATATCATGAAAAATGTAAAAGGTTTTCATAATTTATATAAATGAGTTAAAAAAAGTTCCGACATTTTCAATTTTATAACACGTGAAATACGAATACATTAAGTATTGAATGAGTACTTCGTCGAAGCTTTTATCGATTATGGTCCACAACGATTACACTCAACAATACATTATAACTTCAACTGTTATTTAACGTAGATTGTATTGAAAACTTCAATTATTTACTTACTGAATCAGTAAACATCTATTGAATTTGTTTATATGTAAGTTATATATATAAAGACATTAAAAATATAAACGCGTAAGTATCGATATTGATATAATAATAAAGAAAATTAATAATATGTATGCTATTATAACAGTAAATAAGTTTTTTTAATGCATCTGGTTTTATTTAGTTGGGGTTTGGATATGAATAATCTATATAAAAGAATCTTAAATTTTAATATACAATTAGAAAATTAAAAAATGCGAACAAAACTCAAACGTACGGATTCGAATATGTTATGGACTTTCTTTTAAAATTTTGGTATTCATAATGTCTCGCTCGATAGATAGGAATTGTAATGAAAAAATCTTCACTACTCAGAAAAAACTTAAAAATTTAATGAACTGTAGTAACCTGTAACACACCCTTAAATCGCTTTTTAGTAACTTAATAGAATTTTTCTTTAACATGAAAAAACACAATAAAAATTCCATATAAATACATTATTTTTAAGAATATTCTAACACCTGATTTTAGACTTTTGAATTTTAATTAAAATTACTTGGAATCATTGAGTGAATCTATCATTTATGTGTTTAATGAGTAATATTCATGCGAGGAAAACTTTATCTATATGACTTTTATTTATGTTTCTATTATATTATAAAAATTAATATAAATTATGACTATAATACATTAAATTGTGTAATACTAGTTGTGACAACGTTTGGGCTCCGGCCGAGTGGGAGGAATGCAGTTCAACTTGCGGTCAAGATGGCTACCAAGAGCGTCAGCTGTTTTGTATTCCAGCTAATATAAGGTATATATAAACCTTTTTTGTTAAATAAATAATATTTTTTAAAGCAAAGAGAATGAATAATATTTTATATAAATATCGTCGTGTATTATGCACCTTAGTTTTATATCCAGATATAAAGTAACAGTTTAGAATAGAATGATAATGAACCAGCAATACATTTTGGTGAAATCTCTCACGTAATGTGGTATTTAGTTTTGCTGGCTTTCATGTCAGCAGATATAAACCGTCGACATGATTCATGTGAATTCGGAGCATGTACAATGGGATTTGAATCTACATAAGCGAATAATACTTTATAGACCATAATATAACGGATTTAAGTGAAATGAGTTCATAAATTTAAAATTCATGATATAACAATATTGTTTGAACATTACAACGTGAAAGAAGGTACTAGGGCAAAAAAATCAAAAGACTAGCCCAGAACTAATATCAATACATTCTTAAAACGTACTTCAACGGCAGCCCTAATTGATGCTTTTCAAATTTGGTTAGGTAGACCTAGGAGCTTAGACGGTGAAGATGAGTTTTTAAGATGAGTTAGATAGGGCCCCTTAAACCTACACCTGGGTCGCAAGTCTCAGGACCTGTTAAAACTCCTCTCTCTGCAATGCGATGAACACAACCCACGCATGATGAAAATGTTGAGAAGTTTCGTCTCGCTTATATTTAAAACGCTTTTATTTTTTATTTTTATTCATCTTCTTAAATTCTATATGCGTTTTTGTATACAATTTCTCTCTCTCTTTATTTCCTCAATCTTGAATTGAAATAGATTTTCTTGGATACATTTTTAGTACCTCATAGTTATTAAGAATAAATTTGTACTTTTAAATACTTGAAATTAATAATAGTTAGAAACTTATCAGTCTCATCGCCTTTGAAATATCAAATATGTAAGTTATTATCTCCTTGGTCAAGGAAATATAATATAATAAGGCTTATTCTGAAAATATAAGTTGTAAAAATAGAAATATTTCTTCTTATAATAAATGTGACAAAGTGTGTTTTTACTCTTTTCATTTACGATCCACTGAGAAGAATGTGAGCGTGGCACACAACATAGTCTTTATACAGCAAGAAAAGACGATCGTCGAGGAAATATAGAATACTTTAGACATGAATGCCAGCAATGTTATTGTATTTTTCTAGTATTATCAATGTCTAAAATATAATAATAGTAATAAATATTTTATTTAATATGGTAGAAGTAGTTATTTTTTATCGGGAGTATGTAAAATTGTAGGAGTAATTTGATATATCAGTTAAATAAACATCTGTTAACTTGTTAACCATTTGATACATAAAAATCACTGAACTTACCACTGTTTCTTTAGAGCTTTCTTTGTTTCAGTGTAACAACAAAACATGAACTCATAAAACACAGCGTATCTCCCGCTCTATGCCCAGCATCAAAGCCAGCCAAGACACAACCCTGCAATAGGATACCTTGCCCTGTTTATTGGCAAGAAATGCCTTGGACACCGGTATGATAATACTTATAATAATTTACTGTTGAATTGATTGGTTGTTGATCCTTTATTATATGAAAAAAGATAAATATTAATGATCACACATTCTTTTATATCTGTAGCCATAATTAATCGACAAAGATTATATATACAGAGTGACTGGTGAATTACTATCAATATTTAAGGAGAATACTCGGTACATGATTCTCATTCGAATTATGTAAAAAAAATAGGTACTTAATTTTTGACAAAATTTCCGTATAAATAAATAAAGTGTTGACACGTTCCAAGTGTTCCAAGTGTGGACGCGTGCGGCGGCATGCTGATACAAAACCACGCCCCCGCCGCGTATGTGTGAGTGTGTGTGTATACCTAATCTGTAGGGTGCTCACACGATGCGTAATTAATTACATAACTTTTGGTTAACTTTACTTAGAAGTTTATTAATATTTATGTTATATTAATTTTTATTTTGTCATATATGATCGTCAACTACCACGTCCTCAAATATCGATAGTAAGTCACCAGTCACCCTGTATATTGTATATATAAAAAAACGTTCAACAATGCAATGTTAACAAGATTTTTGTTCCGACAACACAGAAAACACCTGTTTTTCTATGTCTGAAATGATTTAAATCAAACTCCTCTTCATCCATTTCTTAGTGTTCCACTACTTGCGGCCGCGGAGTTTCCCACCGGCCTCTTTCGTGCCCCGCTTCAGACCCTGCTCTCTGTGGACCGAAGCCTCGAGAGCGAAGACGACGCTGTCGTCTCCGTAAGTGCCCCAGACCTCCAACTCCCTGTCCAGAAACTGATGCAACCCAATACTGCGAACTATTCACCAGCGATCAGTTAGAAAGAAACTGTGTCGTACCGCCGTTCAGAAAATACTGTTGCAACGCCTGTCAGTACATCAGGAAAAGGGGAGAGTAGTTATTTATAGTTTATTTTAAATATAAGTTTGTCTGTATTGTAGTGAAATACTTATTTAACTAACACTGGTAATGAAACGTTGTGTTCGTGACGTAATATCATTTACACTGATAATATAAAGGTAATAATACCTTTATATTATATTATTTTTGGCACAACACGAAATCCATCAGAAAATTTTACTTGAAAATGATGAAGTACTTATAAAAATATATGTTAAGTAATTGAATCCTGTGTGAGTAATTCTAAGATAATATTTTGCAAGATTTCAATATTTTCATAGAAGTGTTACTAAATCCTATGAGAATTGACACAAAGCTTATCTAGACCAAAATGCTTCTTTTTCTCCTACAATTATATCACAGGAATCATTCACTTATATGTTCTGTACAAGATAAAAATAAAAGTCAAATGTATTGTGTTATAATCAAATATAGGAAATGTGTGTTTACATCTAAGTATTTTATCTACCAGTATTCATAAATTTACTGTTGTACCTATATTTTATCAATAGTTTTATTAAATAAAAATAACGTATTTAAGTAATATTAAAATATTTTCTATTTAAATAGAAACGAAGTGCCATAATATAATGTACACACTTCAACTATAAATAAATGTTTTTACAATAAACATGATACATTTTATTCTTGTATATTCTTCATTGTTACTCCGTTAACATTTATACTGAACTAGCTTTCCGCCCGCAGCCTCGCCCGAGTGGAGTTCGGTTATATCGCGTTTCCAATAGAGCCTTTCAAAAGTCTGGGATAAAAACTATCCTATGTTCTTTGTCAAGGTCAACTCCATCTCTGTAACAAATTTTATTAAAATCAGTTCAGTGGTTTAGGCGTGAAAGCATAACAGACAGACAGACAGACAGAGTTATTTTCGCATTTATAATATTAGTAGGGATTGTTTTTCAGTAGTAGTAATTGTAATTGAACATATGTACTTTCTAAGAGTATTTAGATATCACTGATTAATGCATTCCCAAAGAGGGTTGACGTCAGGCAGGCGGCCGGTCGCAGAAACAATTAGCCAAAACTATTCACAATATGTAAGGCAGATTCTGGCTTAAGCTGGGAAATTGCCAGGTAGAAGAAGAAGAGTAGTAATTTTAATTATGAAAAGGCACCTTAGCAAATAGTTTAATTAATTTTTATCCAAATATTAGTCAAATGAAATCAATTTATAGTCGTAGCAGTAACGAAGTACAACACAAACCACAAATAAACAGTGCTGAAATAATATTATCCTAAGGTCGTAATCTAAATGTAATAATGGCATGACCCATCCTGAACTGCGATCGATACAATCTTTTATTATATCAAAGACCATTTTATTATCAGAAAGATATCAGAGTTAATTTTTATAAATAAAGTTATTGAAATGGTTAAAATAAACTGATAGGACTGCCATAGTTAAATAATTGAAATGTGTACACATAAGGATGGATTATTTAAATGTTTATCGATTTATTGAATTATATATACATAAAAATCATATTTCAATATTATATTAATATATTTACATCCTTATGAAAAGAAAAGTAAAAATTATTTTACACTACGTAAAAATATAGATCTCATTTAAGTTATTTAAAAAGAAATGTAAAGAAAAATATTAAGGAACGATATAAACTTGCCTATAACTTTCTTTGTTTAACCATTTTTTTATTTAGTTTCAATATAATGAATGAGATAATGTAATATTTTTTTAAGGAAAAAACTTTTATCCTAAACGAAGGACTGAAAGGGAATACATATTATATTTCTTAGAATGCCCGGGCTCTTTCAACTATCAGGAATGATTACTAGGTTTCTTTTTTATTAGTAAAACATATCATAAAAATTCAAATACACAGAAAATATATTTCAAATAATTGAGCAATGCTGTTAGTTCATATAAATCGAGCAGAAAAGAGTTTCAGTGTCTGGTGTCATCGCTGGGAAATAAAAAATGCTTCATGACAGAAAACGCTATCGGAAATGAAAAGACTTTCCTCTGATAGCAAAAATAGACGATGAAACTAATATATATGTCATACGTACACGTTAGCAGTAGACTTTCATTGAATTAAAACTCTATTTGATGTAACAGTAAACGTTCGGTATGATATTTTTAAATGTCATAAATGTCTTACAAATTTATTGCCTTTTTATTTTTATATGTATAAGAATTATGCCATTTTAATTTGAAAGTCATCAAACATGTTTAAAAAAAATCCTATAGAAAGTGACTTTTAAATAATTAACTCCTTAAAGCATCATAGATAAAGAATTCGTTAGTTACATAATTAATTTTCTTACGAAAGAGTTCCACTAATGCTACAAACTCCATGGTCCAATAACATTATTATTTTGAAGCCAGAAAAGTTACTATTTTATGGGATAGAAGCACGTTTTTATTTGGTTTACCGCTTCGTATAATATAAACTGTTAGTTCAAATTAAGAATGAAATCATTAAATAACGCTAACAATGATTTATTAACTTTCGATTTTCAATTTCAAAAATTGCTTTCAATGCTATTTACATCTAAATTGAAGAACCTTAAGTAGGAAATCAATCTTTGACGATAAAAGCATTTTACTTCTATTTGTTACGACGACATTATTAGAACCATTATTTTCTCATTGTTAACTGCTGTTCTCTAATTAATAAAGGACATTTATTTGCAAATATTTGTTAAAGCCACTATTTTTGTTCACATACATTTACTACAAAACAAATTAAAACTGTGGAATTAATCACTGACAAATAAAATAATTTTCTATATTGTCATATATTTTGCAAGTTTTTAAGTTATTATATTAATAAAATATTGGGTAGACATTAGTTAATCACGAGGTATATGTACTTAATGGGGTATATTAAAGAAAGATTATAAAAATATATTAGGACATAATTTATAAAGGTCAACTAAACTTGAGGTAACTTGAAATCTAGATAACTTCTTCAATAATGTTAGAAAATATATTGTGTATTCCGAGAAAATATCATTCTGTAATAGTAATCCCAGACAAATTTAGATCATTAATAAATACGATCATCTAGATATTGAAAAACTTTTAATAATAGGTGCATTAAAAATATATTAAATCGAAATAAAAAAATATATAAATAATATAAGGTTTGCCGATTTCACAAAGTCATCTAAATCACTTAAATCAAAGATTTGGCAACAAATATTTGTTTAGGACCAGACAAACATGAGATAATTGACTGACAAATAGAAAATAAACATTATATTTATTCGTATCATTTACTTCGAATTAAATATTACACTTACATTTGATATAGAAACCTTTTGAGACGAGCTATTACATATATTAATTATTATTACTACATAAATGTATTGAGCAATGAGTTTTTTAATGAGTTTCAAATTTTACATACTACATATATATACTTTTGGATCAAGGTATCATTGTTTTGTACCTAAATAAATACAGTATACAATAATATAAAGGAAATGCTGTTGCAAAATATTGGTAATAGGGATTTTTGTACAACGATGGTCAGTTATTATAATAAATAATTAAAAAAAATAGTTGATTATCATTATTGTTGATTTGTAAATTAAAAGTATTTTTACTATTTATAAAAAAATATCAAACCTTAGTATTTTTTATCATCTAATAAATGCTAAATGCTAAGTTTCACTAGCAACAGACATTTACATTTACCAAAAAACCAATCCAACCAAAAGCCGTCAACTAAATCAAATAAATTAAATTAATCTCAGAATGACCTCTCGTCGTTCGATCTCCAATCTTAATGATTCCTTTCAATATTATTTAGAGATATATTTAAGGAATTGGAGAAACAACATGGTTTCTTCTCTATTTATAAGAATCATTGATTCTGATTATTCACCACTTTGATAATAATATGTATATCGAGCAGTAGATTTCGACTGGTGATATCATAGGTTTCTCCAATAACACTCCTCTGAGTTTGACCTCAGTTCTTTTCTTTAAATATATTCCCGTCACCTAGTTACGAGGATTTCTACATTTTGTTCACCGGTTCATAGTCTCCACTTACGAAACACTCCATACTTACTGTAGTATTAGGGCACATGTAGCATACCAAGTACCACTTCAGTAAAGTATAAGCAAATCTATTGAAGTGTCATAATAAATTGAATCTGATAGGCAAGCCTCATTGGGAATGACCCTTCTCGAGCCTGTATGTACGCGTAGGTAGATCTAACCCATTGAACACTTTTGTTTTCAAACCTTGTGGTGTGAACGATGTAAGACTAGACGAACTTTACTAAAACTCCGCTCAGTGCAGCTATATAGGTTGTTCTCACTATCTTTGTCGAAGTTGTATTTATGTAGTTGGCCCACCTGTCCTACGTAAACATACTCAGACGTAACTTCGAAGGAGACTATTCACATCGATTATTATTCATAACAAGCTAAGCTCAAATTGCTTCCGACTTCATTAACTCTTTTAATTTCACTTAGATATTTCACCGTGGGATTAAAAATTCAGATGACTTAAAATTCTTGTTAACAATTTTATTGTAATTCATGTTTTATTTTTTCAAATGCGTATTATTTGACGTAACATTAACAAACCACATAATCATAAACAGTGGTTTATTAGTCATTGATTTGTTAGTGAATAACCAGTGCTTAAACAATGTGTTATAAGGTCGTAATCTAAATGTAATAATGGCATGACCCGTCCTGAACTGCGATCGATACAATCTTTTATTATATCAAAGACCATTTTATTATCTGAAGGATACAGGAGTTTATTTAAAAAATATATATTATTTGGTTATTGTTATGGTTAAGATTATCTCTGATGGGATTTTGTAATAATTTAAAAATGGAAGTCTATGTAATGATCACATATAATCGTAATTTTTTATCAATAGATATATTTAAAACTATTTAAAATACAACAATTTAAAAACACACCCCAATCACACGTTCATTTATAACAAAAATACGATGCAATCAGAACATCTACTGCCATC